GTGGTAATTGCCCCCAACAATACATTTAATAAACAGTTTGTTATCAACAGCATGTCTAGTATTTCTGGATTCCAAGGTGAAATTGAGAGGACAAAATGAAATATCTGTATCGGTTGGCAGATTTCTTTCTGGAATTTGATGAAAACAAGTCGGCACATTTTTACAGTATGCAAATTACAATAACACTGTGGATAAATTGGCCGGAACGTTTTTGCTGAAAACGTTTTTCCCCAAAAAACACTTGGTTGAATTCTCAGAGAGGCGATATTTTCTTGTCAAGGGGCAGGGGTAGTCTAGCATTATTGGCATTAATTATGGGACTAGTACATGTATATGCTTTGCAGGTGGGATTTGTACTTGCCTTATTCGGAAAAGATCCTTAGAAGTGAATGGAATTATCACATTGTCATTTGTTAAACCCCGGATTTTGCAGGTCCTATGCAACCCATTTGATGGGTGATGCACAATGGATGACGCACGACGCACAACTAGCGACGGAAAATGGCATGTTTGGAACTGGTAAATGGCAGAATTGGGACACAACAAAAAGCAAAATGCAACGGACGACGGCAGATATGGAATTCCATAACAACTAAAAGTTATACAAGTTAAGCGAACTAATTCCAAATATTTCTTTCTTGAAATACTCTGACAATGTACCAAAAGTTAGCCTATCTGAACAGGCCAACTACCAACAAGGGAAAGAGTTTCAATATATGGACAACACTATTTTTCCCTAAGATGTTACAACAGCAACGCTGTCAGAAAATGATCATATGTTCTAAAATGAAAAACTTGGCTAAGAAAATTCTGAAGCATTTACTAAGAAAACACTTTTTTTTAGACAGGTTTCATAGCTTTGTGCTCAGGTACATCAAGTATTGTCCGTATATTCCCCAACAAGAGTTAAATTTACAATTAAATGAATGAATTTAGAACAGTAAAAACACATCAAACATTCTATGACTTTGTAGTTAGAACTCTGTTTTTACAATTTGATAGACAAAAAACAGCAATGGTTATTCTAACACTGAACTTGGGAAATGATAAGCCACAAAATACGAACATACTGTGTCTGAACTGTCACACGATCATGACCACGACACGGCCCGTGTCGAACCACGGTTGCCACCACACTCTGTCTCCTGGGCAAACACTCCGGCCAATGTGCGGTAAACTGTCCAACTCAAGGTAGCGTGCTCCAGAGGAAACCTTTGACTTTTCCCCACATAAATCACGCCACAACCAACTGCAATGAGCAGTGCACAGCGTCTGAACGAAGCAGTGCCGACCTTTCCATCAATGCTCTATCAACAGCTGGTGAAATTAGGAATATTGATTTTACACGATTTCCAACAAGTTCGCCGCCATGCATCTGGGTCGGAAACTCGGTTTTCATGTGCGCGCTAGCGCTACCGCGCAACGCGCAGATCATCCGATATCGAAACTAGCGCGCCGATGTATAGGGCGCCCTCTGTCGAGTCCGGCCTGCACCATCTCACAAAAAAAAATAAATAGTTACTTTGTGAAAAATTAATTGTTTTGGAACATTTGTAACCAGTTTGAATCATACTCGCCAATTTGTCTTTTGCCCTGCTAAGACCATTTGCCTGGAATAACGTGATGAAGCGTACTCTATCAGCGATGGTTGGGGGTGCCTAGATGCCTGTCCCCAATCTAGCGCGCAACCAAAGGGTGAGCATCATGTGAGGTAAATTCCGGTCTGAGCCTCCCCTCCCCAAATCCTGGGTGGGCCACTGGAGCCTGTAGGCCCTATATAGTTGTTTTAATTATTTTGAACCTTTAAAAGGGGCCTTCTTATTCTAAGTACTGCAACAACCTCCACTATGGGATATTTTAAGTTGCAGGTGCGTGGTGGCTAGCTGACTCCACATGACCAATTATGCCACCTTCTCGATGAAGAACGAATCCAGCAAGGTGACTGTGACCAAAGATTTATACATGTACCAGCACTTAGTTAAGGTTCAGATTCAAAACTGCACAACGGTGACATGAGGGCTGAACATGGATGACTTCGGAATTTAAAAAGTAGAAAAACATCAGGAACCGGGGGAAAAAACCTTCGATTAACAGCAATTAACAATCAGTAACTAGGGCTAAATGTCTGGGGGCACCCAGTGTGGTGCACACAATTTGTTCAAGGGGCACCGTAAGAAAATAAGTCGCAGGCGCTACGTTGCAGGTTTCAAATGGGGGGAGGGGCACGGGCATCCGCTGGGGGTACATGCAGCCTTCCCCCCCCTCCCACGTATTTACACCACTGCTAACAATTTCAATGTAATTTTGTGCCAGAGAACTTACGTTACCTCTCATAATTTGTTGAGAAAATTTCTTGTTGGGGTGCCGCCTCAGACTCCCGAAGCTAACTTCTCAGATATTGCGAATGAATTAAGAGGTGGTTCTTGTTTTCGGTTTCACTTTTTTCCTAACTTAAGCGACGCAATTTCTCAATTTTTTGTTCTTTTTTCGTAAATATATAGTTCATGCAAAACTGCGTAAAATACATTCAAAATGCATCCTGTATTATCTTCTTAGCGCACCGTCACTCCCTAACAACGTGTCCACCCCTCCAACGGGATGCATTCCACCAAATCGTAGTTCTGCGCGAGCTCATTAATGTTGTGATCCCACGGGATTTTTACAATAAGACAGACCATAATCAGGAGGGATCATAGAAATATTTCAACAAATCCCGAATTTTGGACTGATAGTTTCCAGTTCGGGATATCTGTTTCACAAAAGCCCCAAATTGCGAGCCTATTTTGGATAGAGGCGGGCGGCTACATTCAGAAATGAGCACTTAATTTTACTGCTGTTTTGGCTTTGGGGGTATCTTCCTTGAAAGGCGAAAAAAAAATATTTTCGTGGCTAACCCCCATGAAATTGAAACGAAAAGTGATCTTCTGGCCATAATCTTGAATTTCCAGTGAAAAAACGAAGGCCGACCTCTTCACGAGAGTCAACAGGCGGCGCTATTTCGGTCCGATTTTGCACTGTTTTATATGGGCGCGTATTTGGTGCAGTGCAACCCGAGGCAAAAAGATGGACCACGCTTTTGAAACAGCGACCTCTCGTGACATGCAGAAGTCTGGGGCCGGCCGCTTCATCCACGCAGTTTCCGCAGGCGGACCACGCCCGAGACAGGACTATTCATTCTAGCCAATCTGTCAGCCGTACCCAAAAGTCGTGGCTGCGGCTGGAAATAACACTTGTCTCAATTGGAACACTGATTGGTGGCTTCAGCCACTTTACATAGACTCGTGTATTGGTCCACGCCATTTGATATTACTGCACTGGGCCACTAGGTGAATGTTCGTCGCAATTTGATGTAAACGAACTTTATACATTACGTATCTTTCACTAGGTCAAGTTCGTGAATGAACTTTTTGGACCAATGAAATGTGATTAATTTCACTAGTCAGACAGCAGACTTAAAACGTACCCACTGTAAAGGCTTTGCAAATCAGTTGTACCGCCACATCGTGTGTTTGTTGTTGCTAGGACTTTATTTTATTGTCCAGATATCATCATGATCATGGACATGATGGAGCACGGGGCGAGACTCGTCGTGGGTTCGCTGAGCGATGCTGACGGTCAACTGTCACTAGTCCCGCACGCTACCGTAATCGTGGTTCTCGTGGGATCAGCCATTGCTTTCCATTGTTTAAATGTAGCTTTGAATTTTACTCCGGTGCTGGAGAAACGGGACAGGGAGATCAGATTTAGGTGGAGAAACATTGTGACTTCATTTATTCATGCTGTAATTTCGGGATTTTCAGCATGCTATTGGTGAGTTTTTTTTCTTCAAAACACATGTACGATTTGATACTTTTTCATTTTGTTTTCATGAAGCCATGAAATAATTTGTAATATTGTAGCGCCGGCGGGTTCGGCCGATAGGGGCGCCAGCTCGGACCCGCATGGAGCTAGCTGGCTGCCCCCGCTGGTATGCGAACGGCCTGCGGCTTTCCCGCCTCGCGCCGTCCCGGTAGACACCTCGTGTCTGGAGCTTGTGTGTGTGAGACAGCCCTTTGGCTTTCGTGGAAATAAACAGAGCAGTTTTGCCCGGAACGGCGAGTGTTTCTTGTCAGCGTCAGAGCCCATAGGCAGGACACGCTACAATGTGTAGGCCCAGGCATAATGCTCCCTTACTTAACCCAGTGACTTGAATCTTCTATAAATCCACTAAAACCCAGCCCTGTATTATCAGATTATTACCAATAGGCCTATTTTATTTTATTTCTTTCTTTTTGTAATTTACATTGTAAATTAGATGCAGACTTACATGTATTCTGTATTTTGGTTAATTTGAAGTAGCTCCAAGCCGACTGAGTGGAGCGCTAATACTCATCTTTTTTAATTTTGTATTTGATCGGTCATAGTAATTCCTTGCTCTATTTAACAGACACGAGGAGTAGGCCTGCTATTATTAACGTTCTGCTCAGTAGAACTAACTTTTTAAAGCGGAGATCTTGGGTAAGCTTTGCCTGTGTTGGTCTAATCCCAGAACTGTGGGGTCCGACATCTGCCCAGTACGACGTCCGCCTCAGACCCCCCAGAATTGTGGGGTCCAATGTCCACCCTGCTATGTGGTATGTGCAGCGGGGCGGACATCAGACCCCACAGATCTGGTGGTCGTGGGGCGGATGTTGGACCCCACAGATCTGGTGGTCGTGGGGCGGATGTTGGACCCCACAGATCTGGTGGTCGTAAGGCGGATGTTGGACCCCACAGATCTGGTGGTCGTGGGGCGGATGTTGGATCCCACAGATCTGGTGGTCGTGGGGCGGATGTTGGACAGTTCTATGGGGAGGTGTAAATCTGAATACCGTATATGTTGGGTGTGATCATCCGATCTGCACAGTTACCCGATTTGCTCTGCAGTGATTTCTCTATCCTGGATGAAATCTCCAAGTTTACTCCCCTTTTTTGAAACAATCTTTCACAACTGTAAATTAAACAGAAAAGGAGATTGGCTGATGGTGGAATTACTAACAAATCCTGCATCCAGATTGGATTGACCGATCATGCCTAACATGACTCTTTAATTGAAATACTCACGTTATTTCAAGTGTTATGTTCATTACAATGTTAAGAACAAAGAATAAAATAAACAAGTAATAAAAGACTTGTTAATACATGTAATTAAATGTAGTGAACATTCTTTGAAAACCAAAAATATTCAGTGGTCAGAGTGCCTTTTCGAAAAACTTTATTTTAGCTGAAATATTTTCACGCCCACCTTAAAACGGGCAGATTCTTTGGTGAGTGTTGGAGGTCTAACTTTCCTCGTTTCCCAAACCACATTTCCTCGTTTAATCTTTCACATGCAGAAGAATCCTTTTCATATTTTGTTCAGGTGAGTCATAGCTGACGAACCCTGAATTTAGATGGTCTTGTTACATAACTTTCCATTGTCACCTTTGTGCCTTCATTGTGTGTCACACACAAATTCCAAATTCCATGTTGTGTTTACCTTACGGAGTGTGGAGACTACAGCACTGTGAATGGCCCCCATGTTTAAAGTCAATATGTACACAATTGTAGGTATGACCCCTCTTCAAACATTAGACTCAAACAATTGCCCATAACTTCAGTCCCTGCATACCTAGACTGCTAGGGAGGTTGAATGTGCAACAGTTCAAATTCCCACTGAAAACCAAACTAGCAAAAACAGAACCAAATAAACCCTTAGTAAACTAAATTTTGACCGTAGAAAAGGATCGCAGAAACCAATGACCCTGAGTGTCATTTAAACACAAAAATACTATCAGCGTTTTTTTGTCCGTTTGTCCGGATCAGATGAGATCTTGTGATTGTGCAGTGAGCTGTCCACTTTTGTTTGGACAAAGAAAGATTTGAGAAATATCCAATGTTTGATCATGATTTTCACCCTCTGTGTGATATTATAATATCCCACAGCAAACCTTCTTTCACACTGTGAATGGTTGTACATTGTATTCAAGCCCGTAATTTGCTATGCACCCATTGTACAGACTGAAGGGATTAAATAAATATCATGGTCACTGAGCTTTGGTCGTTGCTGTGTTATGATAATGTGCCACCATGTTTGTCATTGCGGCAAATTTTTTTTCTTGTAGAATTTCAACTCGCAGATTCAATTACTTGTAGGATCTACTTACTTCGTGATCAGAATGGATAAAACTACAAATGTGTACATATACTTATAGTGACTTCAGATCCTATTATTTACATATATGTTGGGCCATTACGTGAAACAGTGTATTGAATAGACCCATAGACCTGGAGTCTGGAAAAGTTTTACATTTCAAAGCTACAGAATTCTTAATAAGCCTTTTGCAAGTTAAACTTGAATGAAATCTTGTACACTGAGTTCTTGTGAACATAACAATTTGAATTCTCTATACTAAAGACACTGTTGCTATACCTCATGATTCGAGGCAAGCTTTTGGTAAGTTACATAGGAGACGCCTTGCAACAATACACCGTTTTCAATGGATAAGAAGGGCACATACATGTACACATAGGAACCAGTCCATTCCAGAGATGGTAGTCGCTATGCAAAAGCTTGCCCCGAATCATGAGGTTCAGTGTCTCTAGTCTGGGAAATTCCAATTGTTATGTTTATAATGTGCAGTCAGATACCTCAGTGTATTATATTTTATTTATATTGAACTCGCAAAAGGCTTACTGAAAGCATGGTGCATACCGCATGAGTGCACACCGCATGAATGCACACTTGCACAGACGTAGAAATGCAAAACTGACAAAGTTTGGATACGTCCATAACAGAATTGCAGATCTACATGCAGGTTTTTTTTTTTCTATTTAGATTCACGGTAGGGCTGAGTCAATTAGAATAACTCACCCTTCGAATATTCGACCTTCAATTTGATCGAATATCTGAATATTCTGTCACACTGACCGGCAAAATCAGTTGCAGTAATGCACACAATTGCACATTATAATCACTATAATAGCTTCTCACGTCTAGGAGTATCTCCAGCCACTGTCTAGCAAGATTTAAGAGATGAACAATACTTCTTGTCCTGTAAAATTTTTTAATGAATAATTTACTTTTTGAATCTGCTTGAAACAAGCCTCCACAGTGCAATGTTTCTCCTTTTCATGAATTTTGGATTGGAATATTCGAATTCACGTATGTATTAAATTTAGCCACCAATAGAATCTACTTTTAATGTCGAATGTCGTATTTTTGCCCACCAGTGGCTGGCAATGGCAAATCGTTGGCTTGCCATCAGTACTAAAGAAAAAGAATCATTCCCCACACGGTTTCGAAAGTGTCCCTCCCTAAAAAAATCTCATTCAGCAAAGACCCAAATATTAAACACTATTACAAAATAAATGAAAATACGATCCTCTTTGAAATTAATGATGCAAAATGTACAATCTGACATACATGTAAAGGCACCAAACAAGGGTGATACGAAAACATGTATGGTATGTCAGCCCACTTTGGCCACAGGCAGGAATAGGTTTGTTGGTACAATTTATGTACAGTCGTATTCATGAGAAAAGTCTGTGGTTTCACCAGGTATTGTATATGATGTTACTTGCTGGCATAACAGTGAGCCCTAGGAACATTGTGCATGGGGTCACATGACTGCAGAGTTATAATGAGATACTCATAGGCCCAAAACCCCAAGGGCAGACGGAAGGTTGAGTCTCCAAGTTCATGCAGTAACATACAATGAAGCACGTAACAGGCAGTTCAGGATGTCATAAAGTTGCATTGTTGTGAACAACCGCATGTTATTTGCAAAGACCATTTCATCTACATGCATTGTGATCTGTAATTCCCCTATTCATTGTAAATTCTAGGTGGTTACAAACATGGGAGGGTATGTCAACTGAAGCGCGTCTGAGGTTCCGTAAGCTCCATTTTTCCCCATTCTGTTATAATCCACTTCTCCCCATTAGGCACACCATCTGTCAAGAGACAACTCATTCAAAAGTCGGAACACAAATTAAATCGTTAAACTCTGCCTTTAGACTCACTTTTTTTTTTTAAGAGGGCAATTTCAAGCAAAGTTTGAGTGGGAAAAAGATTTTGCTGACTGCTTTTTGAGAAACTTAGATTAGTTTTTTGTTATGGAAACTTTTATTACAATTCTGGCAACAGCAGTTGATAGTTACACCCACAATAGACTTTTATTATTTAAACATCATATTTAATATTCACGTTTGTCACGTTTATCTTGTGGCAGTCTTGAGGCGAAAGAGTTACTCCCTTGTTTCTTCTATTTGGATGCTAACATTGCAGAGAATGCACTTAGGGATACAATCTTCCCATAATGCACAGTTGCACACATGTCTGAAGACATTAATCAGACAGGATGCAAGCTATGTGTCACAGAAATGGTTCATGTGTTGCCCATGAACCATTTCTGTTGCTCAATGCATGATTTCTATCTGTGGGCTAGCACTGTCTTGACGACCAATGCGGTCTCCAGTAATCACAGCTGAAAGGTTTTTCCAACTTTTTTGTCTGTTTCCGTTCTACTTAATGTTGAGGTCAGTAGAAGCCTTGATTGGGGAAAAAAATCATTGGAGTTATTCTGTACTTTGTACTGCATGGAGTTACATATCGAGATAACCTTGTCTGCTCACACAAGCTGTGACCATTGCTGTCAGTGACTAGGCTGAGTGGTTACACAGTGCTCTTATCACAGTTCGATTTATTCAATGGATGTCAAGTGTTCCAGGTTTCTTCCATAACTAGAGTGGGGTCTTTCATTGTCAAGGATTGGAGTTGGTCAGATTCGTCCCTGCTTGTGTAATGTAACCGTTTTAGTGGAAAAGGGTTGGGGCAGGGGTCATTCAGGGACGATAGACTGCCTGTCATTCTTCAGCGACTGTGGCTTTGTGGATATGGTTACTACCTGCTGTGGTTCAGGTTTACTGCTTAGAAGTGGGGGGGGGCAATTTCATAGAGCTGCTTAAGCACAAAATTTGCTTAAGCGTGAAAAACCTTGCTTGATAAATCAGGTTACCAGCCAAAACTCCATGTGATGTATATTGTTTTGGAATGGTATTCACCTGTCTTTTGGTTAGCATGACAATCACATTGAGTTTGAGCTGGTAACCTTTGTTTATTAAGCAAGGTTTTTTTGCGCTTAAGCAAATTTTGTGCTTAAGCAGCTCTATGAAATTGGCCCCCAGACCATAAAGGCATCGATATTGAAATGTAAACATGGAAAAGTTACCTGGTTGATTTTAACACATGTGGGTTTAGTGAACAAGTACCTAGTTGGGGCGAAAAGTTTACATAGACCTGGTAGAACAAAAACAGTTTTCCTCGAATTTCACAACTTCACTCATTCCTGCCAACTTTTCATAAGGACAGACAAGATGGATCTCTCTACTTAATGTACATGGTGTATACCTCAAATAAAAACACCCAGCAACACATATGTGATTCGTATATTTACAAAAAAATTGAAATTTCACATACTCCAACCTTAATATTTAGTGCCACTTTCTTTTCGTCACATCTCACGGTCGCAGTGGACTCCTTTCTGAAGTCTTTTGGAACAACAATAAGGGGGTTGATGTAAATTTTCTCCAAATGATTTTTTTCAGAAATATTACCATTTTGAACCATAGTGAATGTCAGTGAATATTTTCAATTGAAGTACACACTATGAACATTCAGTTGTGACACAGTTTGTCCGACCTTATTGCGAAAAAGTTGGCAAAACTATCCAGCAAAACAAAGAGGAAAACTGTTTTTCTACCAAGTGTACATGTATGTATGTAAACGTTTTGCCCCAATTGTTCACATGGGTTGAGTGGATAAGCACATGTACATGTACATATACATGCATACATGTGCCAGTTTGCAAGTGAATACATGGACATGTACGTGTACATGTATGTTGTCATGAACTGCAAGTATTTAAAAGTTTGTTGAACGTTTTAATAAAAGTGCTTCCTCATTTTTAATGAACCTTGTTGATTTCTGTGATCTGCAATGTTAGAGAGCGCTGTACATGTAGCTGTGCAGAAGGTCAAATGCTGCCGGTAGTGATTTGTGGTCTTATTAGGAATTTTTTACCCACGTCCAAGTTCTTATGCAAAATCAATTTTTAGGACAGGTTTAGAGTATTATGAGCGGATGTTTCAATTGCATTGAATGTTAGTTCTTCGTCAGAACTTCCAATGTTATATAAAAGGCAAATAAAGTCCTTGATGTTTGTTCAAGTCAGTAGCTTGTACTGGCAGAGAACTTACCCCTCAAATAATCCAAATCCATGAAAGTGTCAACCAGTACTACCACTCTGACATCCTTTCCAAAAAGGTTTATGAAGAGATCAGTGTCCAAAAAAACCCTGGTGCAAGACACTAAATATTACAAACTGTAAGATACCGGTACATGTTCATGTATTATACAAGTATGTGGTAATATATTACTGGATACTTTAGACAGATCTATTCTCCAGATCTGCCCATGTTCATTTGTCAGGCTCATACTTTGAAGATTGTCATTTTTACACTCTATTTGTTGTTTATTTTTTGAATTGCTTTCCTTTTTTTCCCCTGGTCTTCAGTTTGTACTCTTCCCCAGAGCTACTGGAAGACATTAAACAACACGTCACAACAATCAGCATAGTCCTTGTGGCATTATCTGTAGGTAAGAGATCAACTTTATGACCTTTTTTATATCTTCAAGTGGCAACAAGCGCATGAAATTCAAATGTGATTTTTGCTTTTGGCCTGTTTTTATGTAAATGTTCAGTGCAAAGTGCGTATACATGTCCCACACCCTAGATGTCGTGCATGGATCGTGCAGTTGTCTGCTGAAGGGCAAAGCTGAACTTTTCTCGCGCTACATATATACATTTACAAGAAGCTTTGATAATTCCAGAGAATTGAGGAAGTCAACAATTTCCTTCTCCTTCCATTGTCCTCCCTCCACTGAACCCCTCATCACTCAATCAATCGCTCATCAATACAGCTTGGAGCCCTGCCATTTAACTTATCGGACTGAGAATCTGACCTGACATTGAATACAAAGGCAGGCGTTCTACCTCCAAAGATTCTACAAAGGAGGTGAATGCTGTAAATGAAATCACCAGTGTGTTGTGTGCCTCCATCGTTCTCTCTCTCATCATTGTTCATCGTTCTCCCCCCCCCAAATGTATATTCCCCCAAACACGTTGGCTACAGAAACTGCAGAATTTTGGAGATAGCAGGCATCCAGAGAGATCAAAGAAATTCTTGGATGGTCGCGCCATCCTATGTATTCACAAGAAGACCGCACAAGATTTGCTACAGACGAGGCACAGTGATCCAGATCTGTGCGCGATCACTTTGTATGAAACAGTCGCACGATGTCAACTCTTTCCAGCAATGCAGTGCACAATATCGTCAATTTGAGTCCTTTAACAACGGGACTAGTATTGTGAGGTGCAGCCATGGCGCTGAGCACACCGTTTCAGTTCCACCTCCTCTGTAGGAGTGCTTGAGTTGTGAGCGTGCGTAATGCAAAGCCCATTAGCTTATGTGCACCAGTGAGGAAGTTTGAATGACTTGCCTCACAGCTGAGATGGAGGCATTGAGGCTATTTCCAAGGTTGAAAACCTTCCCCCTTTTTGACAAGTTGCCAATTTCCTTATCTCTTCCACAGGTTACTTTGTGTATGACCTCGCCGACATCTTAATCAGTCGACCAATCAGAACTACTTGGCCTTTAGCCATCCACCATGTAGTCGTAAGTACATGTGCCTTGCCTCAACGACTCAATTCCTTTTTAGTTATTTCCACTTATCCCCCTGTTCTCAGAAGAATTTTTTTGCATCCACTAAAACTAACGGAATCAAGGAAAAAAGCCCCTCGGATGTTTAACACAAGCCAAGAACAGGAAAGTTACTTCAAGACATCAATTGAACACTACTTTCTTTCCTGTACGTAATTCTGAAAACGAAACGAGCCCCATAAAAATGTTACAGTATAATTTCAGAACCCTAGGATGGGTCATTCGCTCACAGAACACACCACAAAAAGTCTGCGCTATTTTCAACTAAACCGTGCCAAATTTGAGCGTCTTCTGCGTCTGTTTTTTAAATCATTGTAAGATTTCGGACGCTTTTCATTTGAATCTGCTTGAAACAAGTCTCCATAGTGCAATTTTTCCTCATTTAAAACAAAAGAAATTTTCCCATCCTTTCATGACTTTTGCATTTGAATATTCAAATTCGAAAAGTAACATTCGAATATTCGACAACCGATTGAATATTCGGTTATTTGGATATTCGGCACAGCCCTAGAGGGGTGCATTTTATACATACATATACTCGCACATGTATGCTTTTTGCCATCATAACCATGGTAACCTAGAGGACAGTTACCCTCCAACAGGTGAAGGATTGAGGAGGGTTAGGGTTAATAGTGGGATACGATTGCAGTCTACCTGTATCATGTACTGCCCCTGTACATAAAAAACACTCTACCTCTCTTGTGTCTGTGCAGTAGTGGTTTCAAGGTCACATGACTCAACACTAGAGCTCGCCACAACAATCCATTTCCTCTCCCGTCATCACCCAATAGAAATGTTAGTTGGATTTGACCCCTTGTGTGTGTGTGCTGTGGGCAACAGGCCTGGAATGTGGGGGTGGGACGAGAAGGTCATGCAGGTCACGACCTTAATTGCCTTCTGGTAAAGCTGATATTGAGGTTCTGCCCTCCCCTTTAAGTAAAATACCAGCAAGTTCTGATGAAGAGAACATTTTGATCAAGGGGCGCTGTTGGAAATTTCACTGTGGGCGCGAGGCAATTGATATGGCTGTGCACCAGTACAGTTGAGGGAGGAATAAAGATGTTTTTAAGAATTTCACAACTCCAAGAAGTAGAAATCTGTCTTTGGGGAAAGAACAAAGAACAGATAAATAAAACTGTCACTGCAAAAACATGTCAATATTACACTGTACTTTGTCAAAATTGTACTTGTTGAAATGTGAAAAATACATGTCCAACATCAGTCCAACATCAATCAATATTTGAGCATAATTCCATCCAATATTTGAAAGGAGTGGTTGATTTTACTGGCAGAAGTAAAAAAGGAACTTGATCCTTGAGCATGTTGTGACTCTCCCAAAACTTGGCCTAAGGGGGGATTCAATATCGGTTGTGTGTCCAGTTTCTACGGAATTTTCACATTCTCATATTTAAAGCCCTGGTGATCACAAAGTTCTGTTATATTACAAATTGATCAAAATGTTTTTATTTGAACTTTTACAGTTAATGCTCAACATAAAGAGCACAGTTATGTGAAACCATTTCAATGTTGATCAAATTCTGGAGTCCCCATCTCTCATACTGTTTTACTCTTCTTTTAAAAATGCCAATTTATTTCCTCTTTTTTTCCAAAATTGTTACAGGGCAAGGTTAAGGTTAAAGGCTCAAGTGGATACTGTACATGTTGGCATACATGTACAAGTTTACAAGCAACTTTATCAAAATGACACTGGATTCCTTCAATTAATGTTCCTCCTGAATGTCTCGTTTTTCTTTCCCCTCTAGATTTGTTTCTGCTTCGGTATTAGTCTCCATCTACGAGCCTACATTGGTTACGCCGTGGTCGCGCTAGTGGCAGAAACAAACAGCATATTTCTCCATCTCAGACAAATCTTGCTCATCATGGGCGTGCCCAAGAGCGCCCCCATCTACCGGGTGAACGGCGCGGTCAACATTGCGACGTATCTGATATTTCGGTTCGGGACGCTGTTTTGGATGTTCTACTGGCTGCAATCGCATCGAACCGAGGTACCTCTTACGCTCTACACCATAGCTGCCGGGGGATTGGTCATCATGATTGTCATCAACCTGGTGCTTTTCAAACGCTTGCTTGTCAGTGACTTTTTATCACCAGGGGATAAACTGAAAAAGGACAAGAATGTTTTAGAGAAATAGCCCACTGGCACTGCCGTGGCATCCACAATTAACAGATGTACGTATCTATTATTATCACCGAAGCACTGAAGATGTGGTTGTGTTCACGCATCACTGGCTCGCATGACAGACATGCAGTGTCACGTTTTGAGGAGCTGCAAGAAGTTTGGAAGAAATTTTAAGCGAACATTCACATTGTCCTGATTTCAGAACGTTGGGTCGAATGTGGGAAATTCAGTTCAGTTTTGGCTTGGAGAGCTGAGAGAATTCTGTTAGGAAGTCTGCATGCTTTTTTCACTGTGCCTAGAAATCTCTGCTCACAGTTGCAGTAAGACCCATTTTACTGCATAGCAGAAAATGTTTGCTTACAGCCTTTCTTTATATGTGCATGCGTACATCTCAACTAAAGGACTGCATGTTGAGAGACTTTTTTGGCAGAATTCTCTAGTTAGAAGTAGTGGAGCCATGAAATTGGATCCCTGGATGGGATTTTGTTTCCATGGCAACAGCTGGGCACTGCATGTTGTCAACAGCAATGTGACTTGGTCTGTCCAAACCAGACCTTTCCAGGCAGGGTTGGAGTGGAAGTTTCACCCCTACAAAATGCAATTTGAGGCTGTCACAGACTAAAAAATGACATACGTGAAGTTCGGCCAACGAGAAACCATTTTCCATAACCAGACCCCAGTCTGTCAAGAGGAAGGTGTAATTTTTTTACAAATCGAAAACACGTCTTCGACAAGCCGGTTAGAAGAGAATTTTGAGAGCTTGTTACATGTACTAATGCGCCTGGAATGTTCGGACATCAGCATGCCATGCTGAGTTTTCAGGACTCTTTGTTCAAAGTTGTGAATTTGTTGCGCCGTATTCCACCCATCCCCGTCAGGGTTACTGGAAAAGTTCCAAATAAAGGCTGCATTGAACATAGTATTCTCACGTAGCACAAAATATGTTATTCTATGCAATTCGTTCACAGTAATTACTCTGTTATTTACAAACGTGTACATACATTAAACACATTAACTTTAAGTCAACAACTATCACTGTGGGATGTGCAGTACATGTTCACAGGAAAGAAGTATTTAATCCTTATGGTTCTAGTTTTACGCTCCAGAAGAAACTCTTGATGTGTGTAATGAATGAACTGCTGATAAGTTGATTAACCTCCTTCTCGAGTCGGCTCAAAAAACTTTTCCCAGCAATGCCACAAGCACAAGTTCAATTTTTAAGAACAACTCTCTGGACTCAGAATGCCTACCAAGACTGAATCTGTCAATCCTGAAGAGGTCCTGTAGTTTCTACGACCAGCACGTCGTATGATTTGATAGCTCTTGCGAGGTCTGATAATCCCGTATTTGGGCAACGAGTCTTTGGTTTATCCACACTCTAATGCTATTAGACCCGTGGTATTTTGTACAATTAACTTCAATACCTGAACCTAAATACAGTTCTTTTCTTGCAAAACTCAAAAAGGCAATTTTTAGAGAGTTTTTTGTTTTACCAGTGGCTTGTTAGGAATTTTGTTTTGTACAAAAGCACTTGTATGAAGGCAGTTTGGGCTAAGGTTATGCCATTCTCAGGTGAGGAAGTTTGCGTATTTTGAATTTTATTTTTTTTTTTTTTAAGGTTTGGGAAATCTGCCGGCTGTATCAATGACAGAATTGGTAATGATTCAGCAACTGTCTAGAGGGAATGTTTGTGGTAATTCTGTCTGTTTGTCGTCTGTGTGTGGTCATGGTGGTGGAGTGAGACTGCCAGATTTGAATACCAATATCCAACGGTAATCATGATGTACTCTGACTGAAACGAAAAATGGGCTTATATTGGATTTCCATTCTAAAACAAATATTAACCCTCCTATGCAAATATGCATTCTTGACACAGTTGTCATATCAGTCAAAATCAGTCAAACTTCCCATTATGTGTCTGTGTACCGGGGGAAATCAAGCGGAAGGAATATTGGACTGTTACAGCAGAAGGAGTGTTAAACTAGAAAAGAAAACAAAAATTGCCACAGAACTGTCTGCTGCATGGAGCACATTGTGCCACTTATAACTGTTGAAAACACACCACATGCAGGTGGCGATGCCATTTTTCAACACTTCTCAAAACTCCTACAACTCTTCCCGATTAGGAGATCAGTAACTGATTAATTCCGGCGTGATTTACCCTGCCAACAAATTCACTAAGACCCGGTGGTGTTGTCCAATTTCTGTAAACTGTTTCTCTAGAAACATTCTAACAGGCAGTCAACTTCAAACAGCATTGCACAGTTCTGTATGGAGCTTTCCTCGTCATTTCATTTGCACAATTATATATTTGAGTTTTCTTCCTGTATTGCAAAGTATGCTTTTTTTGTTAGCAAACTGTCAGAAACGTTTCCACATTCACAAGGTGGCATCTTCAGGATGACACTTACGTCCTGAAAACTGTACGCAGAGTTAAAAGTAAGAGAAACGAGTCTTACACAAGAACTGCTCAACAGTGTGGGCCGACAGAATGATTGGAACAGGCTTTCTGTAATGCTACGTCATTGCTTAAATGTTTTTTGAGTTATGCTGCAGCTGACATTGGTCACTAAATTATTAATGCTTAATTCTAAAAATACATGAATGCTTGGAATTCACTTTAAATTAATTAATTGATTTGTAATGGTGTCATTAAGGGTTAAAGTTAATGTAATTGATTGCATTTTCCCCCCCTGCATTTGTGCATCAGTGTGCTTGGTACTAAACAGTTCATTGGATTCAATTGCTGTGTATTTGTAAAACCATTGTCAGGAAAATTGCATATCATTTTGAGGCTCACAGGAACTTATAAAGGGCAGTTTATCCAATCTGTTCTTGTATTGCTGTTTATTTCTATGAATGGTTTTATTTACCGTAAGAAGAAAGGGTTGATTTCATGGCGATTTGGACAGTTTTCCTCCCCAATTTTCTGTTACGGGGTACGCACAACTTCTTTTCTGCTGAATTTTTAAGTTCACAACCCTAACTAGCCACAAATCAATGACTACCGTACTTCAGGAAAATAGGCCTGGTCGGTTGATTTATGACCTGCAGTTATTCACCTGAAGGTCGTCTAAAAATAAGCTCTACTGACTGCTTTCTTCCTCGTTTGAAAAGCTGAATAATTTTCTCGTAAAATGAACAAGTTGGGTTGACCTGTGTCTCTATAAACAATGCCACCCTCCGCAATGCGTCACAAAGCAAAGCCCAAAAGGAAGGATTTAGACCACAGAAAAGTCAGCCATTGTAAACGTGAAACAGAGACCCGGTAGCAATAAAACAGATGAAAGCATTGGCAAAACAGAATATAAATGATGATTCCCAAAGACATCTGGACCTGCCCCAAGTTCATCGGCTCTCAAGTGCTCTCAAGATAAAATACCAACTGCCACTGGCTAATTAATACGATGCTAAAGTTTATTCTCAACGGACATGGTGGAAAGGCGTTTAATATTCATGATCAAGCAGTACGTTTCCATTTCTGATTCTTGCTTTAAACTCACAGCTGTGGTGTTTCATAAAAAAATCTTGATTTAAAATCTTCATTTTTTATTTTATTTTTTTTTTAATTATTTGAAGCATTTCAATGCTGAATGTTGACGGTCCCAAAGCTCCCAAAGTTTACATCATTTTTATCGGAGACTGATCTGAGATAAGCTGAATAGCTGGTTAATCCACGTGGCAAAGGAACAAAAAATGTCATGAGGTCAACTTTTGTAATTACACCAATTTTCCATCAAAATGTGAACATTTTTTGAGGAAATACTGGCTTTCAATTACCTGTGTTAGTCACAAGTGCAAATTCAATCGACAGTGCACTGGCCAGATAAGAATCCAGATCAGGTTACAAAGTCACGTTTACCAGTTTTCCTCTGATCATTTCCCGGCCGATTTCTGCTTCTTGGTCGTAGTCGTCTTCGCCTTTGGTCCCTTGGCTGCCTGTTCCTGCTCATACTGCTCTCTCCGGCTTGTCAGCTTCCGAACCTTCAAGGAGACCACCACAATGAATGATGAACTTTTAAGGCTCAGGCCATATTATGTGGCTGTGGCTAAGGGCAGCATGTATACCTATGGGGAGCCACTGTCTAGCGGCTGCAGACACTTCCCATAGATTCCTGTATTACTCAGCCATAGCCAGTTGATTTGGACACACAGATATTCCACTTGGTGAAAAGTTTCCAGCTGCATTTTATTCCATATTTTAAAATTCTTTCCTTCTGGAAGTGTGCGCAACATGCTAAATTTTAAACTTATTGGGAACTGGCAAAAATTGATGGAAGAGGAAGCCTGAGAGAAGAATTCAAGGATCACTTGAGGAGTTGACAAGGAAAAGTTCTTTCCTTCACATGTTTCTGTGCATGTTAACCACTTCGTGCCAGGGCATTTTTCAGTGTTCATGAAGCTGGGCCGGCATGACTATCATTTTTTCCGTTTTCAAAATCCTTCAAATATTCATCCTTCCATTTAACGGTCGTTTGTAGCCGCACAAAGCAATCTTTAGGCACTACTCTAAGTTGACTGGTGACCTTCATTGATGCCCGAGTATTTCAGCCAGGCCTGCAGCCTTGTAAACAGAGCCCAGATTGTGCGGTGTTATACAAATGTCTTTTGTTCACGAANGTGCTGTGTGGCTCAACGCTGCGGTGGTGGAGAGCTTTTGTCCCCAGTGGTAATCCGCTTGCTCTCAATGCCCCAAACCCTGGTATACGGTTTCAAAATAACGCTGGATTATCACCACTTTTGAGAAAGAAAAATGCCGGTAATGCCCAGCAGCCTGGTCTTTTATTCGGAGTACAGTCTTTTGTTACAGGGCCCTGTTTCCTTTGTCCGGGTTCGGAGACCCCGGCCACGCATATAAACCATACGGCTCCGATTTCGGAGTCCCCGGCTGGTAGTGGTTATAGACAAACCCAGCAACCACGGTGACACTATCACCAGCTTTGTAGTAGCCCCCAACAATGGCTGAAAATGAGATAACTATGGTATGAAATTACTGCACTGTGCAAAACCCACCACCATGCATTCCACCATTAACGGGGGCCATCCAAAATGATCAGTGAAATATCGCTGGATTCATCTTCAGGTAGATTTGTTTGGGGGGGGGAAACTGGAAAGAGTTTAAGACACTCATTGACCGCTTTTACTATTGAGGCCAATACTGCCAAGGTGAAATGATCCAGTGTAAATGCCCCACCCAAAATTTCAAACTTGGCAGCCTGAGTTGAAAGCCTGGAGACTACTTTTTTTAAAAGTGGTGGGACACAGGCAAAAATCAGCAGGCTGCTAAGATACTTGCTGAGGGTATATGCTTTGAGAGTACATCTTCTCCAACAGTGTCTCCGGAGGTAAATGACCTGACCTACCTGCTTCTGTTTCATTTTGCGCTTCTTCATGAGTTTCTGATACAGCCGCTTGCGTTTCTTGGTCATCATCATTTCTTGCAAGGATCGCTCCATCCGCGCCTCCTTCTCCGCCTCGTAGACGGGATTGATGGACTGCACCTGGCCTGCCTCCACGGACAACTTGGACGAGTCGGCCGCCTGGACGGTACAGAGAAATCAATTCAAACACAACATCCTGCTTATAACAAGAGAAATATTTGATCAAGACTTTGCATCCTTTGTTTTCCAGTACTAACAACAAAGGTCTCTGTCGTGACAACGAAATTTGTCCCCCAAACCTTGTTAGAAAAGGTGTGCAACTGTACTGTATGGAGGACGTACTCAGTAAATGAATGGATTAAATGCCTATTTTGAGTTGAAGACCACGTACTTTCGTCTTCACATCCTTGTGGTGTTATTTTGGGTCTCTTTTTTCAAGGTTCGGTCTCATCCAGACTTCAAGTCTACACTTTCCCTGTTTCTGCACAATCCCGGACCTACACCAAGCATAGGCTGCATCCGAATCTGCTGTCTAGAGCTAGGTCTAGGGCTTCCCTCCCTTGGAAATGTGCGGAGACGCGGAGACAATAGACCTAGCCGTAGCTCTGGAAGCTCGTTTCGGACACGGCCTAAAATGCAAATCATTAGATCAGCTAGAAGGTGACCACGATGTCTACAAACCTTATGCTGTTTGTCCTCTTTCTGCTCCTTGCGATCTTGTTTCCTCTCCAGCTGACTCAAGTGCTTCTCTTCAACCTCCGCGAGATGCGATTCTTCTTCGTCCTCGCTGGCATCCTCCCCTTCATCTTCCTCATCCTCCGACCCATCCATTTCCTCCTCGTCCTCTTCGGTCGTCCTCCCTGTGGAGGGCAGAGGAAATCATGCATCATGCTGACCAGTTACACTTTTCTTGGGAGGAAAAACTTGGTGTCTCTGCATAAAAATGACTCTTCCATTTAGTAAATGATTGATCCATTTCCTAGCTCGTGCCAATAGGTGACACAGAAGGACCATGTGGCAATTTACAGTGGGAAATATTTCAAAGCTGTACCAACCACGAAAATTCTGATCACAAAGTTGCTTTTTAAGGCGGTTGCCTGTAATTTTCTCTACAATTGGTGAATACTGTTCTGTTCCAATACCCAGAGCCACGAAATTTAACCATGATGGGAAATTAGAAAAAAACGTAAAGAAAAACCCTCCAGTAAAAAATTCTGTGCATAATTATTTCCAAGGTGGGGCATGAACCACAAATACCATAATGTAAGTAAAGCTGCTTCACAGCAAGAAAGAGCCCAACAGCTTTACCGACAACCTCAGACAATGGCGTTCCTGTGGCTGGATTCGAACCGCTGCACATCAAAATGCAAGTCATGTGGCTCTACCACTGACCTGTGTTGATGCCCATTTGTCGGTCCAGCAACGTTCTCTTCTCCGGCGGTATGTAGTCGCCCTCTTTCTCCTCGACGAAGGGGGACAGATGCGGGGGTAGAACCACCCCTGGGAAGTACTCCTCGACTGGGAGGAGGAGACGAGCGTTGACACTGTCCACCACCCACTGTGGCTGCACGTAGTACCTGGGGGAACCCAACAGCGAGAACTGATGATAAATGCTCCCATGGTGGGGTTTGAACCGTGCACCACTGAAGTACAAGCACAGCTGCTCAAGTGAATGTTACCAACAGCAAAAAGAACCCCAATCTCTGGACATGGTGCTGTGGAAAGTCTGAAAAAGCTAGTTAGATTCAATACACCTGGCTACTTTGAGCTGGAAGAAAACCAGCTTCGACTTGCCTATCCTGCAAATCCAGTCAGCATGGTTACCAACTTTTTCAAAGTCTGATAAGGAACTTAATTTTAGTGGGTTTGGGGCAACAAAGACTTTCTTGAGCAACAAGGCCCTTTCCAACTTATCCACAATCATCCACTTAGCAGGAAACCGATGCCACATTCCTTGTACTTAAAGTAATACGTAAAATAACAGTAACTGGGCTCTACCTCCATCAATCCTACAAAATTCTAAACACCGTCAAATCGCTTTGAGGGATCTAGCAGGGCAAGGATTGTGAACTGATGATGACGCCAGCTCACCTGGAGAGATATTCCTTGCGTTGTTGGGGTCTGTCCACAATCTGGTGTGTGATGCTCTCGTCGCTGGCATCGTATGTGGCTCCGATGAACAATGTCTTGTCCCACGATACCTGACCACCGAAACACCTAAAAGGCAAGAGTAAATGTTCGCTTATCATGCTCACGTCTGCAAGGCTGACCTACAAAGGATGTGGAAGCAACATGGTCAAGCTGACGGCATACTAGGCACCCAAGGCAGCAGCCAAACACCCCATATCTGAACACGAAGCACAGCCAGAGATTGCAAGTGCTGATTTTCAGAGAGGGACGAAACTCTGCAAACCCAGAGCAAAGCCCTTGGCATGGGAGGGGATTAACCAACAACCCAGGACGACAGTGATGGAGTGTTTCTTGCACTAGCCATCTCTACATAAGGCTCACTCCACAATGCTTGAAAAGTTTCTGAAATCTTGGCCTACCGAATAAGAAACGTCAGCATCTCTCGCGGCACCTCCCTAGACAGGAAGAACTTGCATCCTTCAAACAGTTTCTTGAACTTGGCTTCCTTGTCCTGCTCCGCTCTGGCTTCTCGTATCGCCTCGCTCTCCAGGCTCTAAGGAGAAAAAAAATAAAGAACCAAAATGCACCTCACAAAATCACTGTACAGTTGACAGAGAACCAAACTTGACTGCCTTCAAGCTTGAAATTACTTTAATTGTGCTGGAGGATGTAAGAGACAGTAACAACTTACAAACTTTGTGAACAATAGACAACATTTGTTGGCCATCTTGAATTGAACGGAAGGTAAGACTTTACATTTGGGAAACCAGAGAGTAAAAATAACAGCGTTGTAACAAAACTTCAGACAAATTCATGCCACTTTGGGCCCAAAACAATATCGTCCACGGAGAGTGAAATAATTCCCTCCCACAAGTGATTAAGACCGTGTATTATTGATAATGACATAGTTGACCCCTTTACAGGTTTATCTTGCCATGGATGCCTCATCTAAGACTAAGCGGGGAATATTTCAGATGTTTGTTTTCCAACTTACCCCACCGGCCATCAACTCCTCATCCTGCAAATTCTCCTCTTCGTCCTCCTCTGCGATTGGCTCCTTGCTGACCTTGGCCAGGTCATGGGTCATGGCCGCGACCCTTTCCTCCTCTTCTTCCTTGTCCATGCAGAAGCTGCTCTCGTTCTCCAGCTGGCTTGCTGAGCGTGATTTTTCCATCAACGACAACTGTCATAGCAACAACAAAAAATAATCACAAATTTTCATAACAGACAGAAATTCCTATCTAGGCCATAACTTTCTCTAAAGTGAATCAAATGACACATTTCTGACACGGACTGTCACGAAACTTTTGTATGAAATGATGGAAATACCTTTGGAGGATAGTGGAGGTTGATTGATGCATAAAGTTTGAAGTTGATAAAGCCAAGAAGAGTGCTGTAGAACTCGACAAACGTCGACATGATTCTCAGATCAATGTCTCTGGGACGCTGGAAAAAAAAAATCACACCATGGTTTGAAATCTTAGTGCTGCAAAACTTGGAATTAGCTTTCGATAGACATAAGCATTGGCACCAAACTTGGGACATTCCTTTTCAAAAAATCAGCCAATTTCTTGCAGATCTATGTCTGTACTTACTGAGTAGTTGAAACTGTACGGTACAATCCATGTTATCGTCTGTCCCTGAATCTCAGCCTGGTAGTAGATGCCTTTGATTGACAAGAATACCTGCGACAAAATTTCAAACAAGACTTTGCCAGTGTTTTCACCACCCCTTTCAGTTTATTTCATAAAACAGCAAAACACCACAACGTTTTAAGACCCTGTCAACGTGGACTGAGCCCTTGTGGTATTTATGCATTCAAAGGCAAATCCAACGTGAAGTTATAACTCGAGTGATTTATTCAACCGGTTCGCACAGGAGGTCGCATGAAGATAATTAAGCAATTTGTATTCAAAGGGGCACCTGGTGAGTTGAAACACTGGTCATTCACTCAGCCCCTGTTGGCCTATCTCCTTAGTTTATTTGGTCCATCAGCCAATACAACCGCAACCCTGAAAGACAGGCCTCCCTGTTTTCACAAATCCTCAAGTTGAAATATCACACAAATATGGGACAAAGGACTTTCAAGACTCAAGTCGGTATTTATGGCATTTGTCTGGACTTGAAATGTCTTCCAGTAAGGCCGTTTTTCAGCCAACACTTTTGGCAGGTGGTCAACAAGATTTAGAGATTATCCTCCTTGGTGTCCATTGCGCCAATACCTTCCTGAGTGACCTCGAAGCAATGATGAAATGCATGAACTCCATCATCAGCCGACTGCACAGCGGAATCAGTCTGCTCTCCAGCTTGGCGTTCTTCTTCATGGCTGCGAACGTCGCGCACATCGTCAGCGGATCGTCCAGATCCCGCAAGGCATCCACAAATGTGGGGTATCTAAATCAAAGACAGGAAAATTTCGACCTTCACTCTGTAAACCTCTTCAACCGTGTTATTTGCTGTTATTCCTGGTTACTTTTACTGCAAACTTTCCTTGATCCTCCAAAATCCTCCACTGTGCCTGGAAACAATGGCACATTCTATGGACTTCAACTTTCAAGGGGCATCAAGCTCCATGGAAAGTAACAGTGTCACAGCTCTGCCTCCCTCAGTCCTACAAATCCTCCGAAAAGCCAAAGTGGATTTTGAGAAACCTGAAAGGAATAGGGCTGATAAGCGAGATTATATGGCCTGATTACGCACTATCCAAGGAGTAAAGAGGGACAAAGTACCAACAACGACAACTGGGGACTATGTGAATATGCAATGCTAAGACAGCCAATCAGCTCCACTGACAGACAGATGGTGGCACTCACCTTTCTTTGACAACGTGATCCAAGTTATAGACAGGTTTATTGTCCACTAATCTGTCCAACCGACCCCACTCTCGTTTCTTTCTGGCTGTCTTGATTTTCCTGGCAAAAATCTGGAGAAAAGCAAAACCAACCAAAAAAATAACTATGAAAAGATAAGCACCAGAAATAAATATTTCCCTTCCTCTCTGACATGTTATCAGGGCTTTGCTGTGTATCTCAAGACATGAATAAACAACATTAGCCCTAACCCTCCTCAATCCTTCACCTGTTGGAGGACTGAGGAGTGTTGGGGTTAGCATTCAAAGTTTTGAATCAGACTAATAAATGCCTTGAAATTATGTCTCTGAAAACTTCCTACATTTACAATGTTCCCTCTTTCAATTATTAAAAATAATCAGTAAAAATACCTTGTTCCGAATTGGCAACATCTCATTAGCCTGTATGTTTCCTGATTGGGATGATGCATTTGTCCCAAATGAGGACAGGCAATACTTCCAAAGCAACATTCAAACCATTCCAAGTTTAGACACGTTCAGTAAACCACAAAGTTCAAAATTACACTGGTATAAAATCAGAGCTGATATCGGGAACTGACCTTGTGTGCTCTGAATTTATGTATGATTGGTTCGTGGGCGAGAAAAAGGATGTCCTTGCTCCGATAGAACGTTCTCGGAGCCTTCTTGCCTTTGTTGGCTTTAGTCGGGTTGTTGGGTTGGACTGGGTAAATCCCTTTGAGAATGCATAGTCGCCTGTAGGGGTTTAGACAAAATTATGAAAGGATTCAGAATTACAGCAGACAAGAAATTGAAAAATGACCGTGGTGCATTTTGATATTCGGATGATAAATGCTATCTTCATATTCTACATGATTTTTGGGGCACGATGGTCGATCATGCTGGTATCTGTTGACAGCAGGATCAAATGATCCCCTTTTCACAGCTCAGAAAAAAGTTGTGTAGAGGCAGAGATTTCACAGATATTTGATTGACAGCTCAGCTCCATTGACTGATCACTGCGACCCACCTATTGTGCCTAACAACTATCAATGAATTATCATTGTTGAATTTTAAAAACTTCACCTGAAATCGACCAATGAGAGCTGTAGCTTCTTGACTGCAGATGCTCTGGTGATGAAATTTGTGGCTGCACCACTGGTAAACTGTAATTAAGACAGGCATACTGAAGCTAATAGCAAATTCATTTGTCAACTGAAGTTTAACCACTATCATACAAGAATTTCCATTCTCATGTTGCATTCTTCTGAAGTAAATTGTACCGCTCAATTAACATGAATGTTACGCCCCAGCCACAGCATACCAACTGCGGTTGGGACAGTCCCAACTACACTGCTGCAGTCGGGTTGGCCCAACTATTCTTGGTTAATCTCTATAATACAGAAAATTTCTCAACCTTGTCCAAGTCTATGCACTTCACACCTGACATTCATCTAAAATATGGCACTTCATCTACATGTACATGAAAACTCATTTCTGCAAGCGCAAGTTGTTGATGAAAACAAAATGACTTTGGAACATACTATAGAACATGCACACACTGTACCCCTGTGCTGTAGTTGGGCCGGTCCCAACTGTAGTTGGGACTGACGCTGTAGTTGGGGCGTAACATGACTAAATTAAAAAGTGTATGTTTCATTCAGTACATGATCAGTGATTACCCCCGGAACTGTGGGGTCTGACGTCTGCCCTGGGAGCAGGGCGGACGTCGGACTCCACAGTTCTGGGGGTAATCAGTAAACACGAACAAATTGGATTTACGTCCTCAAACTAAGTCAAAGCCTAATGAAGGTCTTGTTGTAGACACCATTACCACAACACCACGACTGCAAGTAAATAAGGACATGAAGGAACAAATTCCACACAGCCTTTCCAATTTTCATGCGAAGTTGCATAGGCTATAGAGACAAGGACTAGTCATTATGTACATGCCTACATGTACGCTTCACTACCGTGACTGTACAGTCTACAGACATGACAGACTGTCAATTTCCATGTGGTCATTGTACTATTTCATCATTATTTGTATTGGGGGACAGTATTACTATTAGTAACAGCATGATTAAGAAACCAACTTACCTTCTTTTTTTCTCGTCCCATTTTGGGAATTACGGTATCACAAAAACCTTAATGAAATATTAATTGAATAACTGTGGTTATAACTGATCAAAAGATGAAAATAAATTCGATCATTTACTGATTTGCTGCGCTACCCTACCAATGCTAACGTCACTGATTTCCACCACACGTGCAATGCTAGGTAAAAGACGCCACCAAGAGGCTAACCCAAGGCAGTACAACCGTCTGGTAACCATGAAGTCAACGTATAAGTGGCGCGAATTACGTTACGAAGTCTGGGAATCGGGCTCATATTTTGTACGATCGAAATAATGCGTAGACTAAAACTAAGACTTAAGTAATTTACTGACAAAGCAGGCCTTTCCATCGTTGAAAAGGTACATGGATTAAAATCGTTTTAGAAAGAGTTCCAACTTCCAGATACGGACGCCAGTAATTTTTTCCGGCAGTGAATTAGCCGTCAGAAAGCAAACACATGTCTCGATCCAGAAACGTTCAATTTGGAGGGAGTAGGCTACTAAGTACTAGTAGTAGGCCTAGGCCTTTTATTAAGTACTAGTCCTACTTCAGTCATGTCAGTGTACCTAAGTTACGTAGCAAGCATGCTTTAACACTTAGCCCAAGTCTCTTCGAATTTTTCAGACCTGTCTCGTAGGGTTTGTGCACGGTGTCAAGCACTGAAGTAGCGTCCACATATGGAACTCTTTCTTTTGAGACACCTAATCATATTTGTTATTCATTTTAAATATTATTACTTTAAGTAATTTAGACTGGGGTGATATGATGGTACTGGTCATGCATGATAGACTATGATAGAGGTTGAACATAAAGGTATGATGTTACGATGTGTGATTTATGGTATGTGGTCACATGCCCTCTTGCACAATGGAGTTGGGGGAGGTAGGGGAACTGGACGTGGTGGGGGTGCAACTGCAAGCACCTGTTTTCAATTTCCATGGTAATTCTACGTAGGCCCTACTACTAGGCCTACATTCTTGTCATGGTTATTGTAAAGTCTAGTGGGGTGACCATGGCAACTGTGACAGCAATTATTATGCGGCATACATGCATGTCCTACCACACCCCTTTAGTTTCCATCCATTTTTTTAAAGTGTTTCTCCGTCTTGATTGCAGCGTTAAATGTTGCATCTTCTAAGGAAGCTAATCTCCCGATGTCTGAAATGTCTGATGGGATAAGTGAGGACACGTCTTCCCTAGACACTCTGCTGAGCAAGTATGGCAGCAGCAAGGGATCAGTCCATCTGGCCCAGCAAGGAGAATCCTCCACAGACGACTACGAAGAGCAGGGAAACAGGGAAGAGTACTCCAGTCAGTTCTTGAGGGAAATCAGAGAACGAGCTCAAGTGAGTGGACAGAGGCTTGATTTTGGTTGGCAGGACTAGAGAGTTTTCAGGTTGGGGGCCAAAGCTAAATTCAGTGATGTTACTTTGGCCCCTGGCCTAGGCTAAGTAGAAATGTTGCCATAGAGGAAAAGCTAGAAAATGCTGACATCTGAAACTTAAAATGACATGTTGCTGTTTTGACTAACTGTTTAAAGAAATACTTAGAACAGACTGTAAGTTGAAAAGAAGATTATCCATAATTATTTACTGACAGGCTTTCATGCGTTCCTTTTGACTGTGTTAGATTTTGAGTCGTAATGCGGCAAAGACTCGCCAGGCAGCCTTGCAGCATGTTGTCAACGCTGAATCGGCTAAAAAAGTCAGAGGAGCTCCCTCCGTGGTGAGTACTTGTGGTATGAGTGTTCTCATCTCTCCATCAGTTCCAAGCTGAAGTGCTCCCTCACTGGAAAAGAAGAGACAGCTGGGCAGGAATTTTTCCAAATGAAGTCTGGCATGCACCTGGCGCACACCTAAAGAGCGTACATATACATCCAAATAGAAATTAGCGTGTGCTCGGGTTGACCCACAAAAAAATGCATATAACCTGTGTACACTTAAGCAAGTCCCTATCAAAGAATCATCATTGCTGTACAACACACCCTCTTCTACCATCAACTTTTATAACTCAGTACATCAGTGATTACAAGTGTTTCCTGGTATTAGTTGGACCGAAAAATGGAGCACGTTCACTGATTGTCAGTGTATAAGTGAATGGATTTAATGCTGAAATGAAGACAAACCACTGGGCTAATTCCAAGCTATGCAATTTTTTGATCTCCAAGTTTTAATTCAATTTGTTGCTTTGCAGGACTTGTTTGTTGATGTCATCAAGAGAACCGACATCTCCGATGAAAGCCAAACGGAAGCTGCTGCACCTCCGATTGATGATGATCTGGCGGCGTACTCCTCGGATGACCTCCTCCAACCGGTCGTTTCTCTTGACTCCACTCCCTGGGGTGTGGAAAATGAAGACACTCTAAACACTTCCAGTGATTATTATAGAGGCCTTCAAATCGAGCCTTGGGGAACGTCTACGACAGAGTCTTGTGATGACAATGACAGTGATGGCAGTGACGACAGTGACAGTACTAGTGAGGAACTGATTGACAGTGATGATAATGATGTTATCGATGGGAAAGGAGATATGACCAGGTTAACCAGCGATTTAAAACATTCTGAACCAGTCGTACCACCAGGAGATATTTCAGAAGATTTTGTTTTCACGTCATATGCAATTGGTGAGAAAGGAGAAAGAGAAACTCTAGGACACGAAAGCCCGGAGCGGCACTTGCAGTTTCAGCCTGAAAGTCCAGCTCGAGGTTTGGAAGGTGCTGAAGGAGATACTGGAGAAATCGGTCATTGGGTTGAAGACGCTTATGATGAAGAAAATGAAGGAGACGGCAAAGATGAAGAGGAGCAGCTTGAGGAGGATAGGAGAATTAACAGAGTTGACTTTTTGTCCGTACCAGCTGATGTTCAGGAGCGCGTTTCCTCGTTCCTTGATGGTCATCGGGTTGAAGAAGCTGACGATGAAGAAAATAAAGGAGACGGCAAAGATGAAGAGGAGCAGCTTGAGGAGGATAGGAGAATCGACAGAGTTGACTTTTCGTCTGTACCAGCTGATGTTCAGGAACGAGTTTCCTCATTCCTTGACGAGATGCTAGGTCAAGAGGTCGAGGAGGCAGGTAGGTCAGAAGAAAGCAGGGAGGAGGATGTAATGGACAGCATCAGTCAAGAATTGTCATCTTGGGGTGAGAAACACTTGGTTGAAGCAGCTTCAAGAGAGTCAGCATCATTAGAACAGGTCACCAAAAAGGTGGAGAGGTCTGAAGAGAAGAGGCAGGATGATGATGATTTGATTGACAGGGTCAATCAGGAATCGCCATCTCAAGCCGAGGTGGCTTCAAGAGAGTCAGTAGAACAGATTGCTAGAAGTGAGGAGCGTCTTGAAGATGCGGCAGGTTGTGATGTGAAGAGCAAGGTTGGAGATGCTTGGGTTGAGACAAAGGAGCAGAAGTCTGTTGGATCAGTCGAGCACTTGTCTTCACTTACAGTTGATGATGAGGGTCCTGCAGCTGACACTACGTGTAGTCAAATTGCTCTGACATTTTCTCTTGGAGAAGACACCAGTGAGGTCGTCATTGAAGAGAAAACGAGGCAGGAAAACTTGAAGAGTTTGATGGAAGTTGAGGTCAGATGTGCCAATAATGATGGGTTGGAATTAGAAGTCCTGGATGAAGGTAACCAGGCGTATCTCAAAGAACAGCAAAGTGGTAACTCTGACAAATTAGGAGACATTTGCCTACATCAGTCCAACTCTTCATGCTTTACAGATCCAAGCAACTCAGTGACCAAAGAACCAACATTTGAGGACTCCCAAGATCCAAACCAAGACACCTTGCATTCAGAGGCAGGAGCGACACTCTACAAAAACCAACATCCATTCAGCACTTCAGAGCAACAGCCGGTGAATTCAAAATCAACTCACTCAACCTGTTCAGATGCAGTTGCAGAAATCTCAAAAACTGTGGAGTCTAGCCCAGGGGAGCATTACACAGAGATAAGTGAACATGCTGAAAAATCAAAGACCTGCTCTGAACAACCATGGAAAAACGTTCCTCCTGAAGACAAATTGGTCAACGTCACTGGTGATAAAGATGCCACGCACAAAGTTGTTCTTGTGGAAGACCACTCGAGGTCAGTTAAACATTTCACCACACCCAGGCAGCAGCCAGAAGTGAGAAAATTACAAGCATCTCTCATTCGAGACGGTGCGTTGGACCAATCTGACAAGCTCTCTAGTGACGAGCGTCTGAAGGGACCAGGTAATGTTCGGAGCCTGATCGCAAGGTTCAACAGCCAGAGCAGCGGCAGTGCCAGTCCTGTGGAGTCCCCGCACTCTGATAGGTCCTTCGAGTGGAACATCTCCACCCTGGACAGTAGGCGGAAAGGCAGGGAAAGATTTTCAAGCACCGGTAGCAACAGCTGTGATGCTGACAAGACAAATGTGACCTTTCAGGTGAGTGAAATTCTGAAACGGAAACAACTAAATGCTATGATTCAAGCAATTTACAGACTGTCAGCAGAGGCGGCAAATCCAAGCGAGTCCACCCCGCATTGTTGGATTACGTTGACATCATATGACTCCATTCATGCACAGCTCTACATCTGAATACTTTGTCCACGCTTTCAAAACCATGTCTTGCAGTGTCATGCCTCGATCAAACTTGTTTGTCCATTTGGTGGCTGGAATTGACGTGACTGACATCTGCCATCATCCATCAACCTGCAAATTGGAAATCGATTGGGGGATAAATGTCGAGCCTCACGATTGTTATAAATTGCTTCTTTCTGAAAGGAACTACCATAGTGCAAGTGTTGTATAACACTAAATGAAACTGTGAAAATTCCTTTTTTTGTCTTCTTGTGATCTCTGTCAGTCTTGAGATTTCCATCAGTCTGCCAGAGACAAGAAGTCACTTTTATAAAAGCAAAATAACGAAATGGTCATTGTAAGCTCAAATCCCAGCATTTCCTTACAGATTGACTGTTACCAACTCCATTAATTTATAGTCTATATTTATACATGCCCATTATTGTTATTTGGTTTTTTTCCAGCTTTCAGCCAGCAAACCATCAGGCGAGACGACAAACAATCCTCAAGACATACCCTGGATGCGGGAACTGCGAGAAAGGAGGCGGCAGCGAGAACAGAAGACAGTCTTGGGGCAGCTGCCTCCAAACAGCAGAGGGGAGTCTGGGAACTAGGCAGACTGTCATCTCAAAAGCAATACAAAGTGTGATCCCCCAAAAAGGCGAGGGCAAATACTGTTCCTTTTAATTATATGTCAACTGGCAAACTTAGCAGGGTTTAAAAAAAAAGACACTCCTCTCTGATGGTGCTTTTATTTCATCCGATTTTCTTTTGGCGATCCAGAGATATGTCCCGGCAAGCATAAGCACTCAATTCCGAGTTGGTGACACTTTTCAGTACACTCCACAGCATGTTTCAGTGCACAGTGCCGTCAGGATAATCTCAGACTGTAAATGTGAAATGTACGTCTTCTTGTTTCGATTAGGTCCAGCAAGCAGACTACAGACTGGCTTTAACAAAATTTTAAGTCCTTGCATTTTACCGGGACGAATCTCTAGATTGCCAAAAGCAAACAAAATGAAAGAAAAGCATCTTCCAGCATCATCTGCCCTTGTAGGTTCTAAATACCCCCAGCTGGCATTTCTGTGTCCCAAATGGAGAGTGTTTGCCCCTTGCCCTCCCCTCCTGGAGGGGGCACACTAGTTCTTACTGAATCATATTCAGGGACAGACAGGCTTAGAATACATTCCTTTTCTCACCTCTTCCTAGAGTATAAGTATATTCCCTTTATCTCGGTTCTATTTTACATGTAACTGCTTTGCTGGAATGTTAATCTGTTGAGGCAGTGAAAATGATACTAGATCAAGGGTGAAGTGGGCACCACGGCAAAGACGTCAGAAATGGCCAAAGACTGCAAAAATGACTAAATCTGATTTTTTTTTTAAAAATAATCACAGATTTGTTTGACCGAAAATTCTGTCATAGTTTAAACTTCACCATATTCTTTTTATTTCACTTTGCACCATTAGTGCATTAGTTTATATCAAAAATAAAATTGTGTGTACATATTTCATGAACAGATTTTGTAGTCTCATATATTTTGACATCCAGATTTATAAACTTTGTATTCGAAGTTAAACACCTCTGTAGACATTATACATATGTGACCCGCCACCCCAAAACCAGGCTGACGTAGGTAACTTCATAACCCTAAAATAATGGAACTTCCACTCTTCAGATTTTCATGGGCGTTTTACAGCTATCTCTACCCGTAAGAAGCTTTCTGCAGACAGAATTACGATTGAACATGGATCACTTTAAGGTGTAAAAAAAGCTGAAAGAAAGGAATTGTCCAACACCACAAATACGGACTTCAGCCTGGTTTTGGGATGGTGGGTCACATATTATAGTGACCAATATGAAAAAAACCATTTCATATGTACAATTCAGCCATTTCAACGATATTGCAATCTTGTCTCGTTCAAGTTAGCTGTGCAAGTTACAAAAAAAGTAGTCTTGTTTTATTTTTCTGAATCTCTTAACAGTTATGGAAGAATTATAGATGAAGAAAGGCTTTGACAACAGTGCTAGCTTTCTGTGGACTTGAAATGTTTTCAAGTTAGAATGAAACCGTGCTCACACAAGTCAACACAAGTTGACCACATTAAAAAAACGATAACTCCAATATCATTGTATTCAGACACACTGCCAAAGTGTTCCTTGGAAAAATAAACGTCATCCTGGAATTGAAATGACATTATGTACCTCCTCTTATTTCTGATTAATAAAGTGTGTTGTTTGATTTAAATTTATCAATTGCGGTTCCCATGGTAATGCGAAAGCCGGAGAAATCCTGGAAAAAGTTTTTCCGGGAAAGTCATGGGAAAAGCCTCGGGGGAAAATTTGGAATAAAGAAATAGGGTGTCACAGAATCCTGTTGTCAGAGGAAAAGTTATGGAAATCGAGGCTGCGCAGCATTTTCGTTTAATGGCGCCAGTAATTTTGAAAAAGGTTCTGGGGCCCTGATGTGAGCCACACCCCGAGACAAAGCCACGATTTGGAAAATGGCCCAAGCTCACTTTCCGCTGCTCCACTGCCGATCTCGGAGAAGACACCCGGCCATTTCTAAAAGGACACGGCACTCAAATCTGTGCCATACTGCTCCACCGAGTGCCTCAGGGCGACCTTCTCCACCAGCTTGGGGTCGAGGTGATGCAGGCTGGGAGCAACATCCTCGCTACTCTTGACGGTAGGACCAACTTTAGGATCTGAAAAAATTCAAAAACGCAAAACTGAAATGATGCAAGGCAAACGGTCGATTCCGTTAGCTCAAAATCGCTCTCTGCGATTGGCACTCTGGAAGTATCACTCGCTAGCCATCGGATGCAATGCCAGGTATTCATTCAGATGACACATTACAGAATTGTCTTCCCATAAGCCTTTTATCAACAGGTGTGAATTGTGATGGACGTGCCTCTTTCAAAGGGGTGAATCCGTCACCGAATTTTTTGGGGGGAGGGGTCAAAAATTATAATCCTCACAGACCTTCTGACGGGTAAAGCTACTTTTGAAACATCTTAAAGCACACTTTGGGAACAAAGGGAAACAACAGTGCCAAAATCCACCTTGTTAAAAAAAATTACCTTTTGGGGGGGGGTCATGGTCACTAGAGTGGTGGCAAAGATCAAGGAGGTGATGAAGCAGCAGAAATGACGAGTATTTTCACCCCTCAGTCTGAACGGTCCCAACGGAGGCACCTTTGGCCATCTCTACTCTTAAGAAACCTACCTCTGGCTTCCAGGAGCCCCAGCAGTGTGGACAGTGGTGGGAATGTGGATGCCACACTAAAATTCCCCTCCGAGTTGCCTGAATTCATAAACAGTGCAGAAAACAGGAGATGTAATTCCATGCTGGGGGAAATATCAAATGCAGAACACAAATACCCCAAAAGGCATAGACTCGTTGGATACTCGAATACTAAAAGAGTGTTGATAGGGATAAACAGCAATAACGTTGCATTAACCCCTTCACGGCGGGATTATTTTGACCGCGACTGCTGGGCTGTGGTATGCCCTGAATGGGGGGCTCTGTCCAGCAGCAGGCCCCATTGAACCAGCAGCTGCATGGTGAATAGACTGTACGTGTGGTATGCACTAATGCTCACACAAAGGTGCGGTAGTAGCAGTCATCCGTAGGGAAGGGGTTAAGAAAAACAAGTATTTCATAAATTTCTTACCACTTTCAGCTACTCATTCTTAATTTCCCCCTGGCAAATCTGGCGAACAGTTTCTTCGCTCCCCACATTTAAAAAAATTTTCCCGGCAAGGGGGGGAATACACAAAATATATATGTGCTCCTGTATGATACACGAGCCTTTAAACATTTGATCAGAATGTCCAAAATTAATCTTGAATCCATTATCATGGTCTTAAGATTTTTGAGGAGTAGAGTCCCTTTTCTTACTTGAGCTCTGGGAGAGCTGAGAAGCGCTTCTGGATTGCCGAGTCCTATAATCGCTCACTCGCACGCCCTCTGTCAAAGCAAATAGGGAACACGAGAGTCAAACAAAATTCCGGCAAGAAGATCTGAGGAAATGTGACCACCATCTTTGAATCAAATGCCAGGGGCCAATTTCATAGAACTGCTTAAGCACAAAATTTGCTTAAGCGCAAAAAACCCTTGCTTAAAAAACAAAGGCTACCAGCTCAAAATCTATGTGATTGTCATGTTAACCAAAAGACGGGTGAATACCCTTCCAAAACAATATACATGTAAATCACATGGAGTTTTGGCTGGTGACCTGATTTGTCAAGCAAAGTTTTTTCACGCTTAAGCAAATTTTGTGCTTAAGCAGCTCTAAAAAATTGGCCCCTGGTCTTTTGAAGTGGAATCTTCACAAGTCTTTCAATGTGCAGGAACTCAATGCCATAGGTTTCAAATTTCAAGCCCTTGTAAGCGGTTTTTATTAGGGCTGGAAATAGTTGACTTTTGAAAAAAGTGAGATACAATGGCCAAGTTTAGTTAAATACAGCCAAACACCATGGATGCTGTATAATTTGTTGCATGATTTATGTTCAAAAAGCCGTATTCTCTCCGAGTGATCCCTGTTCACCACTTCCCAGGTTGTATCATGTTATTGGGGCGTGATCCGTGGCTATGTGGTGCTTCAGGTTTAACCACTCCCTGCCGGGCGACCCGTTTTTGAGTACATAGGCTTTATATGCAGAGCTGGGGAGCCCAAAACTGGGACAAAAGAGTTAGGCCTTATAACAAATGTCCGTGCTCAGCACAAAAGACTGAGCTGCTGGGCATTACCTACATTTTTTCGCTCTCAACAGTGGAGACAATCTAGCCTTGTTTTGAAACAGTATACCACATTTTGAGGCAATAACAGCGAGCGGATTACCACCGGGGACAAAAGCTCTCCACCACCACAGCGATGAGCCACACAGCACCGCTGCACGCTAATCTGGCCCCTGTTGAAAAGAGGTCAGCAGTGCACTGTGCTGGCTTCGGGAACAAAAGAATCTTACAATCTGGGCTCTTTTTCCAAGGTTCCAGGCCTGGCTGAAATATTCAGGAGTCAATGAATTTTACCTGTTAGCTTTAGAGTAGTGCCCAAAGAGTCTTTCGTTATAAACAGCCATTAAATGAAATGATGAATTTTTGAAGAATTTTGAAAATGGAAAATCTTGAAAAGGACCCGACATCTTGTTTTGCTCAAGAAGAATCCATCCGGCAGCAAGTGGTTAATGGCTTCTGGCTAGCACCCCCTGAACAGAGATATTGACAAATGGCAAGAGCCACCATCATAGGGCTGTACAGCTCAGTTGGTCAAGGACTGGTACGGTATTCCAAAGGTCGCAGGTTCAAATCCCGCTCCAGTCAATTTCTTTGTTCATCTAATTAATCATTAATAAGCACCTCGTCAGTTTCCCTATATAGTTTGTTTCAATTCAGTATTCGTCACATCGATAAAAACATGAAGTTTGACTTCTGGGTTACAGTCACATAAAAAGGTAAAAAAAAAATGAAATACCTTCATTAATTAAATACCTACTAAAACACATAGACACAACATCAAAGTGAAATTAAAAAGTCAAATGAAAATCCCCTTTACCCGGTACAATAATTTAAAATTCAATTACAAATAACTTGAAACCACCAAAATACAATTACTTCGATGAAAAAAGGACCAAAAAGTATCCCCTGTTACATCTGTAATGTGAACCATATCTCAGTGTTTCATTAAAAACACAAATTGCTCTTGGTAAGAATGAAAATTTGTGTCGATTTGTATCTGTGAGTGATGGTACAGCCTTTGCAGAAAGCAAAAAACACCAAAGTACTTGTTGAGCAAAGAGTGCGCTCCCTCCGGCAAAATTGGGAGGGCAGGGGTCAACATGAATATTCACTAACTCACCTTCTCTGAGGGTGTCGGCTACGTACTGCTGGGCCAGATGCTGCATGCTGATTGGGTGATTCCAGTGTTGTAGCACCTGCGCTGTTCCCTACGCACGACAAACAGTACCTAGGTCAGGATGGTGAGATGACACCTCTTCACCACTCACCACTCTGACCTGATCCAATGCACTCCAACAGTGCCCTGCAGATCAGATTTTCATCGAGTCTGCAACTTACCAAATCTTCTAAGATTTGTTGTTATTTTGTACAAGGAGATCAACTCCCCCCCCCCCCCCCGATGGCCCCCATCGACGGTGGCAGGCATTATGCTGGGTCTTGTTTGGAATGACTGCCATGGAACAATACTTATCACTGTGCCTTCTGCCAATGACGGGGGCCATTTGGTTTCTGCTGGTTTCGTCCCTAGACTGACCTCCATCCCAACGGAACACACCAACCTTGGGGAGTCTGGCCAGAATCTGGATCTTCATGTTGACTTGGTCTTCAGTGTCATCGGGGACTTCTTGCATGAGGCGCGTCATGAACTCCTCGGTGAGCCGCAAGATGCCGTGATCGACGTACTGAAGGAACATGGCAGGCTCCAGACAGCAAAATCCTTGTATCGTAAAGAACGTCTGGAACCCTTAACACAAACAATGATCATCTCAGTAAATTATTCAGTCTTTCACATACTCTATACTGAGTGCAGATTAACTCAGATGATGTCATCATGAAAGATGTACTTTTGCTCACTGTGCCCTGAAGAGGTAAGCAGGAGCACTTCATGAGCAAACCCCCTAAACTGGCTGCCAATCCAACTGCAGTGCAATAACAACAACGAACCAAATCCACAGAGTGGCTTAAAAACCTTACTTAGCAAACTTTCGTGCTAAACAAAATATAGCAGAGTACCAGTCATAAGCAATATGCCTACTGCAACTCTTCGGCTGGTAACCTGAATTTTTTTTTAAGCACAGATTTTCCACGCTAAGCAAAATTTCTGCACTGGGCGACTCTGTGGAATTGGCCCCAGCTGTAAAATCAGTTCATGTTATGCTCTCGCTTGGCAGTCATACTTAATTTGCACAGCGCCCTCTATGGTACTGCACGAACCCCAACTTACCAGGCGGCAGTGGGAAGGAGATAATTTGCACAGCCATGTAGAACCTCTCGATCAGGTGGAAGAGCTGGTAGCCCATTGGGGGAGGTCTCTTGTTACTAGGAGGAAACGGCGATAATTGATGGATATTTACGCCTTGTCTGAAGTAATCCCTCCCACAGCTGACCATATCATATGCCAACTCACTGCTCCCAAGGGAGTTTATTCTGATCAACTGTGCAGGTAAAAGTAGCACAGGTACCGATGAAGACAAAATAGTCTGGTTAGGGGTCCCTGCATTATGGTAAGGACTGCGGGGCAGGGATTAGTCTACAATATCACAATGTGATAGAAACAAGGATGTGGGTAATATGCGTTTTTATTGCCCACTCGTTTGATCGTTCTTGGCCAATAAAACACAGAGATCAAGACAGAGGTGTAGAAGTTAGCAATAGTGTCCTACAAAGCTGGATAAAATGTTGGAGTGCGCCATATTGAGAATCTCTCCTCGTTTACTACGGTCCGTCCTACGTACTCACAGTCGGACGGTGCTGCGGGGTATGGTGCGAGGGTCAGGGTACCCGCAGGCATGCAGCATCAGCAAGACCAGCTGCCGCACTTGTTGCAGCTGGCACGTCAGGTACTCCTGCGCCATGTTGAGGATCTTCTCCTGGCTGACCGAGCTGGGCAGGTGCCGGGCAAAGTGGGCAATCAGCCGGTCCTGAGTCTGGGGGACCCAAACAAATAAATTGGTAGAAATGTCGCCGTGGATACGCTGTAGAGAGCTCTTGGCTCTTAAAACAAAGTAAATTGGGCTATCAACTGGTCTCAAATCTGGAATTCATCAAATGACAGAAAATGTCACCATGGTTACATGGCAGGTTGCTCTGCGCTACAAATGAAGAGCAAGTTAGACCATCAACTGGTTTAAGTCTGGGGGCCATACACGGGTTGAGATTACAAAAACAGTAACAATATCTGTTGATTTGAACAACATTTAACAATTGATGACATGATTACTCGCAGAGCGTAACAGTTCATTATTATTTTAGCTCATCAACTGTGACAAACAATTTAACATTATGAAGAAAACGATACTGGGGCATGGAACCCAAACTAGCCTGGCATCATCCCATTCAACAGATTACACACTGGAGATAGAGTCAGGGAATATGACCAACTATGGCTTCCTTATGGCTATTGATCAGCTTTACGATGAAAAACAATTCATAATGAAAGAAACTTCAAGATATGAGATTGGCTTGGATGACGCTGCCTTACAAGGCTGAGGATGGCATCTTGACTGCTGTCGGGCCGTGATAAGGCATCCTCTTCCATCAGCACCAGGGAGGCGTCTCGCTGTGGCTGCATCGTGATGACCGGCTTCTTGGACGGGGTCATGACCCGGCGGGCCGAGGCCGCCATCTTCTTGAGGAAGGAGGCACGCTGGGTGGACGGACCTTGCCTCATCAGACCACCCTGGGGTGAAATGAAAACCAATGGAGACGGGGAAAAAAAAGCATTGTACATGTTTTGAAATGCACCCAAATTCAGAGTCGGGGACACGCTCTCACTTAGCCGACTGCGGCAATGCAAAATTAAGCACTGAACCACTGGATTACAGCAACTGCACACGTGTTAACATTGTGCGAATGCGTCCGCACACTTCGTCAAATCAAAAACAAACTATTAACGGCAATTACCAAAAATGTATCTTTAGACACAGCATTGACAATGGCCTTCGTTCATTGCTTTCTTCAAAATGATAGTGTGCCTGAATAAATTATTCCACTGAGGGTAACCATCTTTAAACAAACTATGCTTTTCAACACTGATTTAATCAGTTACTTCTTGGGCAGCTGCAAACGTGGGAGTGTGCTTCAAAATTTACGGTCTTGAATCAAGAGGGGCCGACTCAACCTCATACCTCGATCACCGACTGGGCTCTCTGCTTGCGGGCATCCATCTCGATTGTGCGTGGGTGGAACCGTTGGAGCGGTTTACCGACGGTGGAGGGGGAGGGAGACAGGCTGTGCGCTCGGACCCGCTGCTCCAACGTCTCCCACAGGGTGCTGGAGCTGACCTCCATGGTCAGACGACGTTCCATCCAGTCCCTCTGATTGGTGGAAAATGGTCATGTGACACAAAAAAAGAGGCCAGATTCGGTTGTTCAGTTTTAGAAACACGTTTTGCTATTTCACTCTAACTGAAAAGTCATGACTCATTACTTGTCCGTATGTTGCGGCTCAACTGGACCACGGGCATACCTTGTGGATGTTAATGTGGGGCTGTATGCTGTAGCTAGCGTGCCTGAAACTAACCAATCTCTCTCCATCTGTGGTCTGCAAGAGGAACAGATAACATCCGAGAGTGGGGATTACCTGACTTGAATTTTGCAGACGGCATTCTAAACAGACCTCGGCACTTGATAAACACCAACCAACAAGTGTGAAACTGTAGTGTACCCGTGGTGGACTAGGTAATCTTGAGCCTGTCTCTACCAGGGATTTGCCTCTAGGATGGTTCCGAGTGCTGACCGAGACAGTTCTTCCAACATCACAAAGTAACAGGGTGAGGGCACAGTTATCCTAGTACATTCCAGCCCATCCAGGGGATTAACCCTAACTCTGCCAGATACTTCAAGAGTCACTATGAGGTTTCCCAGGACTGAGGAAAGGAAGTTGAAGAACAAAGAATACGCCAATGGGTCCCTACACAGAAAGCCGACAACATTGGAGGATTTGGAAAATGCTTGGCAACACTGGATGACAAAAAAACAGAGAGTTTACTAGAAATGACAGGAGCAACCATCCGATCAGAAAATGGAGAGAGAGGTTTCGTGACTATATACCTCGACCAACTGCCCTCTGGCGATGTCGGTGTTGGTGAACTGCAGCAGGCGCAGTGTGTCGCGGTCAAACTGCCGCCGGATGGCGCTGAACGTGGCCCCTATCAGGTGTTCCGCCATCAATTCTGAGAGGTCTAGGTTGGTGACGTCCATCGACAACTCCTTCATGACCTGGCGAACACCACATTCACAAGATAAGTCCACAATCACAATCTCAATCAGTAAGAAGACAGCATGCCACTCTCTCTTGTGCAAATACGAAACCCGTGAGAACAACAGCTGTTAGGCCCCCTCCCCAAAAGTTTACACTCTCAACAAAACTAGATTTCACAGAGTCTCTCACTGCTTGGCAATTTTACATGTTTAGCAAAAATGAGCAGGGAACCAGTCACAATCGATATACACTCTGTGGTATTTTAGGTGGTTGCTTGTTTATGCTTAGCAAAATATCTCTACACTTAGCAAATTTTTCCACTTAAGCACCTCTGTGAGGGTTGGGCAAAGTATCAAACCTTTTGTATCAGCACCGAGTCCCTGAGGTGCACGGTGATGAGGTGTACCAGGGCTAGCTTGGTGGAGTGACAGTTGGCCTGGACGAGGAGGCTGGGAATGGCATCCTTGTTGATGCTGACGCGGAACGCCTTGCCTGTCGCTGCATTGAAGATGCAGTCACCTGTGAGCCAAGAGGAAATAATGACGGTGGGACTGAATGTCATCCCATCTGACCGGGTATGAATTCAGCCGGTTGGGAAATTGAAGACTGTTGGTATCAAGAAATGAAAGACTAGAGACAAGAAAGAGACAGATGCCCAGATTTGGAAGTGGCCTGGTGAAAAAGCTCACGAGTTCAAATGGACTCACCACTCATGCTGACCGCTCTCTCACGGTTGAAGTGCGTCAGGAGCTGACCCCCCTGGCCGCCGTCCCAGAATGCGAGGCCACCCTCATCGCACTCTATGACCGGGCTGATGGGGACGGAGAGACCGTGGAAGGCCACGTGCAGGCAAGGAATCACTTCGGGGCTGACGTTGAGGAGATGCAGCAAGTGGCCGGGTGAGTAGACTAGGATGTAGCTCTCTGAGGAATTCATCGTAGAAGCAAAAGAAGTCATGTAATAATTAAGCCTAACTTATGAGAAATTTCTGCTAGGAGCCTTCCTGAATCCTCCCAAATCCTCCTCTCAGCAGGAAACCAATGGACATTCATGCGTATTTCAACTTTCAAGGGGCATCAAGCCCCATGTAGAGTAGCAGTGGATGGGATCTACCTCTCCCAATCCTGCAAAATCTTCCGAGATCTCCTCTTGGTACGGAGGCTAAACTACCCAGAGTTTAGGCTAACTTACCTAAACAGCTGAAATAAAGCTTAGTGCTTTCGGCCATGAGTCGCGGTATCTGGGGCACGCTGCAGTGTAAGACGGTCATGTGATGCAGAATAAGCACCGAGTAGTTGAGATCTACAAGATCTTGCTTCTCTACAGCAGGGATGGGAGAGGGGAGTTCCCTCTCCGCCCACATCAGGGGTGAGGAGAGGGCTGTAGCAGGCATCTGTGGGCTGTGGATGGGTGACCGGGTGCCATAATGGGAGGTGCGGTAGATGTCCAGGCGCAACGGGTGGGGGGAAGCCGTGGAGGACGAATCGGGTGAGGACAGATCGCTGGAGATTTCCAGATCCCCGGTTCCCCCGAGATAGACCTGGACGTAGGACTGAGAAAGTGGCGAGTTGGAGACGCCGGAGATGTCTGAGATCGCCCTTCGCCTCAGGTCAGGGTTGGGCGGGTCGAGGGAATCTGTCGTGGTTGGCCGTGGGGACGGACTTGAAAGCTTCTCTGTGCTGTCTGCAAAGGAGTCCGTCTCGCTATCGGTGCTGCCTGGCTCCGTCCTGCGGCCTGTGGGTATCTTTAGGTGCGAGGTGTGCATGGGCGGGGTCTGGACCTTTGGCTTAGTGGGGTGCTGGTAACAGACGCAAAAGGAGCCGCTGGCTTGAACTATGACCTCCATGTTAAAAGAACTTCCTATGGAAGAAATGGAAGAAATAAAACAATGACAGAGTTTTTTAATTGTATAAACAGCAGTGTAATGTATACTGACAAAATACCTTACCCTTGAAAATGTGACTTACCAGACATCGTTCTGCTTGGTGTTACATTAGAATAATTCTCCCTGAAAAAGATCATAAAGTTTGAATATCAACAGCTCGGAGCAACATGGCTGAAAGGGAGATATGTACGGAGGTTTGCTTAATTCTACAAGGAATGAAAGGCAAATTTGGTTCAATCTGCTTGCTTTCGAAAATAAAATCAGCTACATCAGGTACGGAGTTGATCAACAACATGAAAGATGCTCGTACAAGACAAAGCTCGATTTGAAAACAGATAAAATGGAACTTCGGTTAAACGTTTTACTTACTGTCCTGTGCTCAATTTGACTGGGAAAGGCAAAACAAGCTCCAACTGAGGATTGGAAAGGAAAGAACATAAACAAATACTGAATTCACTCTTCAAACTTTACCTTGAAATGCAATAATTGTCAGGGAAAAGTCACAAAATATTGGCAATTAATTCTTACTAATACTAATACCCTGACAAGCATCAAATATCATTTGGCACTATTTCAAGTCAAATCAATTGAGCAAAAATGTGTTTCACAAGGGATTCCAAAAAGGAATTAGCTACTAGAAAGGAGAAAATAATAAGCTGGGGAATGAATTTCAAGAAGCTCACTATTTTGGTGATCGAGGATGTTTTACTGTTGAACTCAAGGCACCGCATGATGGGTACCGGTTTCTCCTCGCCCGGCCGCATCTTCATCAGGACGACAAAGAGCCGTTGGTTGACGACGTCCCACTGTGCCCAGATGAATTGCTTCAATACCTGCAAGGTCTCCGGCGGGCCGCTCATCATCTGGCAGAGTCAAAGAGAAATTAACTTCTTGAAGCTGGCTGGGAAATGCCATATTTCCACGTGCAGTAGTATTTGGCTATTAAGCAAAAGCGCAGGTTACCAGCCAACATCCAATATATAATGTGCATTACTTCTGACCGGTTCCTGGCTCTAGTCTACTCTGCATCCAAACCAAACCAAGCACACTGGTTGGACGTATGTAGAAGTTTTCAAGTCATGCTCTCCTGAATGTCTCAGCAACCCGTTGGCCAATCACAACGCGCAAAATCAGTTGATCCTTTCTAAATGTGCACCGAATTAGAATAACTCACCACGCCCTTGTTTCCCATTCTTGCGAGCGGAAGAACATAAAGCCCAATCGCTAGAGGGACAAAAGTTTGAAGAGTGTCAATAAAATAAATTTAACTGTTAGTTCTTTAGCCCTAACAGCCCTGAATTCTACAAAGTACTACTTAGTAGTAAACTGTACATGCAGTATTCAGTCCTGTCGCTTGTAAGAGGACATGACCTTATTGTTCTCTGAAGCTATAAAATACAATAGATAAGACAATGTGCCATACAGTGCTGTGGCACTATGAATGCACGACTTCATTGTTCTCTGTACGAGTAACAATACAGGTGCCCTAGCCAGAAGTAATTTCTAGCGTTAAGTCCTTCAGGCTCAGGCTACTGCTTAGTATTTTGTAGAACTGCGTATTGCAAGCCAAATTTTATGCAGAATTGTTGGAGCTAAAATGCTGAGAATTCCTGAAGCAATTTCTGTGTGGGGCTGGAAAATTCCAAAGTGACCTTTCCACTCAAGTACATGTAAAAATTCCAAAGAGTTACTCCAGATTACGAACCTCCAAACCCCTGAATTTGTTAAAAGTCCTAAATTTTTGAATGATAACTAACGGTAGGATCCTACTTCAAAAAGCAAGTTTGAAAAAGAAATTGAATTTCAAAATGAAGTATAATCCGATCTTTTATCTCCGTTACAAAACTAAGCTTTTATGAAAGCCATCAAGTAAGCACATTCATTTAATAGCATCACCCGGAAAGATCTCAATTTAATCCAAAGAAAGGCTGTCTAAATCCACCATGCAATCGTGCATGCAATAGCGCCCTCGTGCATGTACACGAGGCCAGTTAGCACCTTACACTCTTTGTGGAGCAGGAAGAGAAGCTTGGACTCTCTTGAGGCGGCGTCTCGGTCCTTGGGCTGACGGTTCCAGAGGAACTGAACACGCAGGAGGTTCTGCCGCTCCACGTTGAGGTCGAAGATGCGGTGTTGCGGGAAGATCTCAGCAAGAAACGCTCTGTAGACTGACAGAGGACAAGACTCAAGGGATTTAGTACAAGTTGGTAAAAAAAATTTCATGGTCCCTTCAAACATCTTAACGTGGATGGAAGATAATTTTGATACTTCTCCAAGTTTTCTGTTCTTGCCCTTTTATGGTGGTGTTATGATTAGTGTTGTATTCAAGTCCATCACAAGTCCCTGCAAATCCATCACAAGTCTATCACAAGTCATTCAGTCTTAAGCCAATTCATAAGCTATTAAATGAGCAGTGACAAAAGCATTCTTCTGTCACTGTTCACCCTGTTACTTATGACTGGCCTTGTGAAGGGACTTGTTGAGGGACTTGTGAAAGGAATTGTGATGGACTCGCATCCAACACGAGTTGCGATGCTTAAAATCATCCCTCAAATGGTTTATCAGAAAAGATTAAATCAGTAATCTGCAGAGGCAACAATGGAAGATTTACTTTGAATTATAGCTCACCTACAAACGGTGAAAGTTTTGCATTTGCACTCTTCTGTTTCTGAGAGTCATTGGTAGAGTCACCTGTAGTAGCGCCCTCTAGTGTCACGTATGCAATCATGCTCCGTTCCTGGTTCATCGTGCAGCTCACAATGTTCAGTGTCTTCTCATGAACAAACAGAACCTGAGCAACAAAGAGAAACAGTTCCACCTTGATGCTACCTTTCTTATTGCAAGGGAATTTATGGCATTTCTGCTAGGGTTCTTTTCCTTAAAAATTTCTTTTGAAAGTTATGTATAATTGATTTTAAAGCTTCAGACTGACGGTTTGAAAACAAATCGAAGAAAAATCAAAATTTCTCAAAGCTCATGAGGCAAAATGAACTTGCTACTTGAAGAAACCTGTGGAGAGAAAAGGATTGGAAAAACGCTGAAACTGAAAGAAAAAAATGAAAACGTTAGGCAGAGGTGGAATTCCAACCCGGGTCAAGGAAAGAACTCACAATAGTTGAAAACTCACCGAGTTTTTTTGCTTTGCCGGGTCATACAATCCGACATGGGTGACTGCCTCATTGGAGAATGAGGACACGTCGTCCCACACGTACAACACTTCATTGAATCGTTCTTGCCCAACGATGCGGACATCAGGGCTTGGCTTGTCATCTTTCCCTGCGATCAAACAGCAAGAATTACTATGAGTCAGTAACTGAGCGAGTCAATGACTGAATGAGTCATGCTGTTCAATTTGTTTGTCGGAGGCATGTGGCCTGGTGGTTAGGGTTTGTAGCTTCTGATCATAGGGTCGGGGGTTCGAATCCAGCTGGTGGCAGCATGTTGTGATCTTGGGCAAGTCACTTTACTCCTATGTGCCTCTCTCCACCCAGGAGTAAATGGGTACCTTTGAGGGCAGACACGGTTATGTTTAGCCGTTTGCACTGAAATGGCAGCACCGGGCTAGTGTACTCCCCAGGGAGTTGAGATGGTTTCAGGAATGTTCAGATGATGTGTGAGCGCAATGTGCAGGGATAATGATAATACAGCGCCTCAGAATGGTTTGCTACATAGAGGGTGTTTTACAAGTGCTTGTTATTATCATTATTGTTAGTCTTAGTGCTTGCTGTGGTCTTTGGTATAGCAATCCGTACTTTTGGACACCTCTACTTCCGTACGATTTCCTTGTGTGGACCTTGCTTGACACAATGTACACAAACCCTATCAGATTGGTCTGAAGAATTTGAAGTGTTTTCCAAGTGAATACCTCAATATTTTTCACTGCTAACTTTGACTTGTTAGCATGTTATTGCTTTTAGATGGCTAATGGGTAACAGTAGGGAAAAATTAGTGGCATCCGTACATGAAATTCATCCTTTCCTTTTTTTATTCCACTGTACCTCTGAAAACTAAAAAAGGCTGTTTTGACAAGGGAAGGGGAAGTCTGACATTTGACAGTGTGCAGGTCATGCGATGTTGGGGTTCTCCTGAAGAAATTCATACATCATACATGTAATTCTGAGGGTACAAAACTGGACCAAAAGTGCAGCATAACTGACCAGTGACACCACCAGTCTAGATGATACTGTTCAGTGCAATCATGACTCTTGCACAAGTTTATCATACTCCCTCTTGACCTGAGGCCGAGTTGATTAGTGCCTATTGCGCCCCATCTACAGCATCAGTCCCAACTGTAGTTGGGACCGACCCAACTACAGCACAGGGGTACAGTGTGCGCATGTCCCATAGCATGTGCCAAAGACATTTTGTTTTCATCAACAACTTGTGCTTGTAGAAATGTTCATATACATGTAGATGAAGTGCCATATTTCATGTATTTTAGATGAATTATGTCAGGTGTGAAGTGCATGAACTTTTTAGATGAATTATGTCAGGTGTGAAGTCACTTCAGGTGAAGTCACTTCAGGTGTGAAGTGCATGAACTTGGAGAAGGTTGAGAAATTTTCCACAGAGATTGGCATACAATAGTTGGGCCAGCCCAACTGCAACGCTACTGTCCCAACTAAAGTTGCAACAGATGCCATAGTTGAGGTGTTACAGGCCTATCCTAATGAATAGATTTCATTCCATCAAATCAACTCAGGATGGAGTGCAATAACTTTGTGCAAGTTTCAAGATTGAGCTGAAAAGTACTAATCGATCTATAAACTGTATCTATCATCTGCTACACACTGTGAGTTAGCTGAAAACTGCTTAACATGCTAAACTCAATTTTAAACAAGACAGTCAGTCACAGGAAAGTCACACCAATAAATAAAAAACAGCAATAAAATGAACAAAATATTAATGCACGTGATTAAAGCTAGACTTAATTAGTTTTTGAGCATTTCGAAAACCCCAACATGCCAAGTTCCTTTTTGATTTCAATGACATGCCCCACTCCTAGCTTAATCTGCATTAAAAAGGCAGCGGTCCCTCCTCCATGGTCCAACTAGCCCAGGAGGACTCCCTGACCGTACTACGCGTTACGGAGGGTAATAAAATGAAGACAACGTCCAACCTTAACCCGCCTACGGTCTAACTTGCTTTACGTTAGCCCCCCCCCCCCAAAATGTTTGCCCTTTTGGAACGAGAGTTCTTACACTTTGTATTTTCCTCGCTGCTGTCCTTGCCTGAAGCCTCCGCCTGCAGGTCATGTCGGAGACATGTGATAAAGCTCAAAATGTCCGTCTTCACGTCGAAACAGCAGGAAAAGTTGCACAAACTCTCCATGTTTAGATGTTCACGCCTCTCTACTTCGCGTACACGCACCGCGCCGTATCACGTGTACGTACGTGTGTGCAGGGTAAAATTTGACTGACGCCCTCTGCCGACTCTCACCGTCGTGGGAACACGGCTCCGTCTTAGCGTACAACAGTGCTCCAGTTGAAATAATCACGGAAAAAACCTTCACTCCGCCAAATGACAATCATGTGACACACTGGCAATGATATGTTCAGTTTCCTTCTTTTCATTTTACTTTTCTGTCACATTTTGCAGGTGCTGTGCAATTTTACAATGTCTCTGAGGACATACAATTTATTGACTACATTTTTAAAGTTAACCAAATTCACTAATAACACAAGTCCTGTTTCTCTTATATGCATAACTGTCTTCCAACCTTTGAGTCTCAAACGAGACAGTACCTCCGCAGTTTAAAGGACAGGTACATATAGATATTAACTTGAACTGCTGCATTTTTCTGGAGTTTTCAAGTTTGATTTAGTGGCGATCTATGTAACAATCAATAAACCAAATCGAAACTGATCTGATATAACCTCACAACATTTGAGTGATGCAACATAAATAAATTTAAATATCAACACCCTCAGACACTGAATATGCATCAGGGGTACGTCTCCTGGTTTAGAGTCTACGGTGCAAAACAAGTGATTTTTGGAAAAGCATTGTCAACCTCCCAAACAAAAATGTTCAAATATTTCTTCTAAAGAGTTGCATGTTCAATTCCTTGAAAAAAAAAGGCAAGATATGCCACTGATATTTATCGAGGAAATAACCAATATTTGACAACTTCTTGCACTTCTCAGAGAAGTAAACATCAACAATCAGTTTATTAATCCATAATCACCAATTTGACATCATTTTTCAAAAAAAAGAAGTTTCAAGCATTACTTCGCTATGGTGCAGCACAAATATCAATGATGTTACATGATAGTGATCCTACCACAACACAAGCATATTCACTGAATAAAGCACTGAGTGTGTAAAATAATTTTCCAAACCGTTTAAAATAAACTGATACACACACACACAAATTAAGTCAAGGTTTTTTAAGTAAAAAAAGAGTGTTCAACACTCCATTAATGACTGCATTCATTCTTTCATTATAATTTAAAACAGAGCAAGATGAAGCAGGATGCTGTTTTCTTTAACAAAGCCAACGATTGCAACAATAAACATTTCCAACTCCTGCAATGACGAAGCAGTCAGGTTAGTACGGAGGTTTTCCACCGCACCAGGGGTGTGAGTGGCCACTTGAAATTAAAGCTAAAAACAGCTAGCAAACAGCTGAAATGTAAAAAGGTCCTATACTTTTGTGCAGACCAGGTGTACAAAAAAGCTGAAATCAGCTAAAAGGGCTGAACTCTCCCACCTGACCGCACATCCTCATGCTAGGATGGTCCCCAACCCATCCTAAAAGAACCACGGTGCTTGGCTAATCCCTAACGGGGAAATGAGTGTCCTCTCTTTATTTGGGGGGGGGAGGGATGAATGGGCATTACCCCAGTGACCCCTCCCCCTACATACCCCAGTACCGATACTAGGCATTCTTAAAATGACGACTACACAGACGACTAGCACTGCTGTATTAATGCGCTGAACTCAAGGGGACACATGGGTGTAGATTACATGAAATAGCTACATGCGCAATGTACGGAACAGAAACTATACCCATTAATATGATTTACATTACACAAAATATATCTACCAGTGTCATATATACTTAATACACAAAATATACCAGCTAGCATATGTCACATAAGACCACATAGGGTTTTTGATGCAACCATCTGTGAAACTACAACTTTTCATATAATGCATGTTAAATGCATGTTTATTAACCCCTTCACGGCCGGATTTTTTTGACCGCAACTGCTGGGCTGTGGTATGCCCTGAATGGAGGGCTTTGTCCAGCAGAAGGCCCCATTGAACCAGCAGCTGCATGGTGAATAGACTGTATGTGTGGTATGCACTAATGCTCACATGAAGGCGCTGTAATAGCAGTCATCCGTAGCGAAGGGGTTAACACCTCAAGCCTTGCAGTTAAATATGGCAAGGCTTATAACGAGCTTAAACAATGGGCTGTCCAAGACAGCTGAAGACGATTATAATGCACTTCTACACTTGGCATTTACACTGATATTTTCACGTGACATTTACTGTAAATGGGAGCTTCAATAAGATTGGAATCTGGTTGTACGTTACGGTGCCAGTGCCAACTATTGTTTGAATAAGATGTAAAAGGGGTGTGTCTTCATCATCAGATGAGGGGAGGGACCGTGGACTATGTAATAGCAATCCATCACATAGGCGGGACTGAGATACACTACCTCATGACCTTCGACCTTTCAATCCTCTTACCGCGTTTGTCTCAGTCCTTCTGGCTCGTGGCTTTCTGCTCTCTTTCATTGACGTCAATGATGGCCATGTTCCGCGAGGCGGTGACGAGATGGACGAGGCTGATGGCCGTCTTTGCCAGGGCAACCGGAGCCGAGATGAGGAGGATCAGACGGAAGATGCTGACAGACACAATGGGGACTGCATGCGAAAATGAGGACATGATTAAAATCAATTTGGAACCCTCTGCACTATGCCACAAATAGTATGGATGAAGGAGGAGTTGAAGCTCTGGAAATTTGGAGAACTTAATCTTCCAAATGCTGTTTTCTACTTGCCATGAAAGCAAATCTGAATGCTAAATTGTGACATCAGATATCTGTGCTGCCAATTCACTGACACTGAACACATTGTAGTTCAAGCAAAGTTTGCGGCAAATGCTTCAAGACATCAAATTCGTTTCACTTTCACTTAAAGTACGAATCTGCATTAAGGCGGTGGATTCACTGATATTGTGTCAGACCTCAGTGTTAGTGACTGTTCGTCAGATGAGAGTGACAGTAACATTGTGTCAGGTGGCATTGTGATTTGACAGGGCATGTGAAATAATAGTGTTAATGACAAACAGTGTGTCAGATGAGACACGGTAGGCCTGATGACCGATGACAATGACAGTCACAATCCATCAGATGACAATGCTGCATGCAGTGACAGCTCGTTAATGTTGGAAAAGTCCTAGTGACAATGCACTTGACAACTGGTTGTGACTGTGTTGAATGACAGTTCTAGAGACAGTGTGACACGTGACAGCGTCCAATGACAATGCCAGTCACAGAGTATACCACATGATGGAGCCTGTCACTATTCATCAGATAACAGAGACAGTGACACTTTGGCTGACAGGTCAGGACAGGGAGAGGTCGATGGACTTACTCAGGGGTCCCTCAGTGAAATACAGAAGGTACAGCATACTGTAGAACAGCTCGTTTCCAGCACACATGGTGAAGAGAACCGGCTAGGATACAAGCAAGGTAAGATATAGTTCAATTTTTTCAAATCAAATGGGCTTTCGCATCAAAAGTTTTTCGTGGTGTTCAACCGTAGTGAACAGGGCAAAAAATATGAAATTATTTGCTGGCTTTTCGGATCAACAATTTGTTTGTTCTTCACAAACAATGTGCGTATGATGAAGAACTCTTTAAGAATGACGAGGCCAACGTTGTTTTAGCTTCCTAATAATCATTTATATCTGGACACTTTGGGACATTTTACAACACATAGCTTGAATGGAATGCAAAACAGCCTTTTAGGAAATCTGTTTTGTCTTTTTTCACAAAGCAAGCAAGAACGTGGCTTTCAAGATGAGAGAGAAGAGTTTGAGTAGAGCTTACCCTGGAGGTGTAGTAGATACGCAGGATGGGGTTGCCTGACATGTCAATCAGTTTGTGATTGGCAATTCCTTTCACGCTGGAACTACAAAACAAAAATGGTCGAGTGGTTAAGACATCTGCACTAGTAAGCAGGAGGTCGTGGGTTCGAGTCCCACCCGAGTAAGCTTGTGAGGTTTTTTTTTCGCAAGCTCTCGGACAAGCAGTGAGCATACAGTGCTTAGTAATATACGTTGGGTAAGGGCAAAAACCGTTATATATATAATTAACATCTCCCCAACGCAAAAATACATCTTGAAAAAAATAAACAAATGATTAAAAGCAAAACAAAATAAATGTCCAGATAAAACTTCAGGCTTAATAAACCTTTTTCACGGCCATATTTGTTTTGCACATTTGACATTTTAGATTCCATAAACTAGAGTGCATCACACACTTCTGTGCTGTGAGAAATTGTAGATGCTTTCATCCTAAACCTCAATGCCAGGGGTGAGATTGGGTGATGAAGAGAAATTCTAAAACAATTCAGCAGTGGGGTTGTTGTAACATTTTAACAAGATTTTTTAAAATACTTACACTTTTCATGGTTTTAAAGTCTAGCAAGACACGAGTCCTTTCAAAAATTCCTATGATTATGCAAGACTTGCTTATTTTTATACGAAGAGCAAACAAGTAGAGAAATTCCACTCCCTAAGTGACTTCTGGCATCTGACAGGTTTAGGATAATCTTCCTGGACAAATCCAGAAAAATTCCACTGACTCAGTGAATTCTGGCATCTGACAGGGTTAGGGTTATTTTCCTGATGTTGGGTTGAATATTTCTGTATCATTATCTATCGTTTGTACTTCCTGGATACATCAAGGAGCACATTTGGTAAATTGGTTGTCCAAAGTGACAAAAAAAATTACAAATTACCTATGAAGATGGAGCCAGTGGCTAGCAATGTCGATTGACATACTGAGCTGGAACCAAAACATGTAGTCCGGGTACAAGACTGACAAGGCCACAAGCAGGCACATTGTTGCACAGCGGTCGGTCAACTGGTCTAGCATGGCGCCGAACTTGGTCCCTGTCAAAAACAAGCAGAATCAACCTGAAGCTAAAATTCTACAGAACTTTGAAAAAAAGAAAGAACACAGTAGAGACAGAAAGAAATGAGGCATCTACCTTGGTTGAGCATCCTTGCTGCATGGCCATCAAAGGCGTCCAATAAACCACTGAGCAGGTAACACCAGGTCGTGGTGACGTAGTCAGTCCGCATGTAGTAAAATGAAATCAATGCTAGCACAATACGGCCATACCCTGAGGCAGACAATCAAATTACCCGTGAATTATTTAATAAAATTTGAAATGACATAAAACTTACACCCAATTCACATTGATAGTAGGTTTATTGTTGCCAATGAGCTAACTCACTATTTTCAGCATGTTCAAAATGCAAAGTCAATGAAGGTCATTGTGAAGGTCAAAGCATGTAGTGAGTTGGCATATGACAGCACTGATGGGGGTCATGCTACTTAGCGTCAACAAGCGTCAATGAGCATCAACAAGTTATCAAGGCAAATTTATGCAAATATTTTATATTTACAATATTGATTAGGCTCCTACATAACATATTCAGCATATCAAATTATCTACAAATAATGGTGTTTTGAGTCGGGCCTGCTTGTGCAGCCCCACTGGCTGCCATCTTGTTTTACGTGGACAGCAGAGAAAAGAAATATGGCGGCCCCATTCATCGCGAAAATTTTCGTTTTCCTGATAGAATCTGCAAGCAATTTTGCTGCTTCTCTTACATAGTGGCATAGGTTAGAGTCTCTAAAATATGATAAAACCACTTTCAAATCTTTAAAGGGTATTTGAAAGTTGTTGATGCTTTGTTGACACTTGCTGACACTGAATAGCACGACTGCTGAGACCTTGGCCATGTGCATTGCTGCTCTGAAATGACATCAAACATGCTTCATTTGGGGTTAGCCCTATTGGTATTCTGCACTGGCTTACTGCAAAAGCATGTGAAAAATAACAAGCTGACCAGTATCATAAAGTCACCCTCAGCGATCATGGTGACCCTGAAGCTAAATTTCTTCTAAAACCGAGTGGTGCTGTTTGAACTGAATATTATTAACACACATTAACACATTAAAGAACAACATTTAGGTAAAGGGTGAAGCACAGATTTGCTTTTGTACCCTAACCTATTGACAGACATACATATTATAACATAGGACAATACAAGACATGAACATGTTTTTGGCAATGATACACATACGGACAAACACTGACAGGCAGGAGATAATACAATGCATCAAAATATGACTTCGATTAAACTAAAAATTCTACCACCATTTAATTAAAAAAAGGCCCAACTGCAGAATACCCCGTCATCCCACAAGATTAACCTCATAGCCAGGTACAAGTCAAGGTTTCACACTCTTCTCAAGGGATTTTCACCTTGTATTCACATAACCAGTCATTCCCGGGGTCGTTTTTTTTTTTAGAGTGGGGGGGGTATTTTGCAATTACTCAAAAAAAAATTACTCATACTTATTACTAGGGCCTATGAAATAAAAATACAAAACAGCCCTAAAAGTCATACACGACGCGACATTGATGTTATCATGTACAATAAGCCAATTTCCCATTCTGTGGCCACGTTGAGTTTAGCGCCTCTCTTCGAGTGTAGGCAGATGGGGGGAACAAATTGTCTACAAAAATAACAATTGTGAGCATCCATTTGCCAAATGTTACACAACATTGTTGTCATGATTTTGTTCTCCCCTGTGTTAAATCTTCTGAGCATGCGCATATAAAGCGTAAAAACGGCTTATTTAACTGTAGAATGCAATGAAAAGGGAGGCTACATCATCAACAAGACGGGGATGACATAGACTGATGTGACTGAAATTGTAAACAACCTCAAAAATCTGTTTCAATAATTTTTAACGAATAGGTATGGCTAATTTTTGTTACTGAATAATCAGTTTGCTTACCTATTAGGTTTGGAACGAACAGAAATATGTTTTCGGCCATTTTCACACCGCTTTCTAGCAGAAATGTCAGATGATAATAGGAAGCGGGTCACTCTCCCAACATTTATTATAAACTGTGTCAAAAGAGGGCGCTGCTTGCCGCAGATGCGGGGGGGGGAGTAGTCGGGCTCCTAAATGTCTTTTCCTGTGAATTAGGTTCACGAAGTCCATTTTTCTGCATTCGCTCTCACATAATTCTCGAAACGCCGGTCGAAATGTCGCTCGTAAGATCGGTATATAACACGTTGTTCAGGAGAACATCAACTTTTGCTCTCTCCATTGTCGTAGGGGCCGTTTTCTTCGAACGGCTGTTCGATGTAGGAGGAGATGCAATCTACGACTACATAAATAGAGGCGTAAGTCATTTGATTTGACTTTACAAACACAAGTTCAGCTGCCGACAAACGGTGCAGTATTGAAAGCATACGGCGCCCAAACAAGCGCCCAAAGCGCCCAATTTATTTGAGATTTCGAATCGATATTGGTCTTTTGCGCTGTTATTTTTAAGATTTTAAGTTGTCCTTACCATATTAAAATTAAATCAAACTTGAGAAGAAACAGGACATGCAGCATGTGAAAGATTTTGTCATCTGGTCATGTTTGGAAATTAGTGAAAGGTTAACATGATATCGGCTACATCATATGTAAGCCCGGTCTATGGCCACGAGAATGAAAATTTTAGATTTGCGTCCACCGAAGGAAGTATATCTTTGTATAATGAATGACTTTTGTTTTCACCGACAGAAACAATGGAAAGATATCAAAGGCGACGTCCTGAAGAGATCACAAGAGGGCGGAGATGACGATGAATGACGACACCGATAATTAACTGATAATCATGCTGCATTGCCTCCCCAACAACGCGGTCCTCTCTCAACACTCGGCAACCTTGGCAGCTTCCACTTCAAGATGTCAGCTGACGTCACTGCCTTCCAAACCCGTTAAGTTTCACGTGTGGGTCACCGACTGTGGTCTCCCCGGGGCTGGTTACAGCAGCCTTCAACCATGGACAGATATCACAGGGTTACCCTCATCGTCGTTACAAATGCAGCACGAAGGTTCCAATTCCAATCTGGAATTTGAACTGTTCAAGAGGACGTGGTCACTTCCGTCTGGTCACACATCGAGGGGCACTGTCGTGACCCCGTTTGACTTTTGACCCCCAAAACCTCCACGGCTGAACACAAACGGCATGGACACGCATTTGCACTTCATTCGACATGGCCACAATTGGAAAAATCAAGGCCCTTTTTATTTTGGATTCAACAGGAATTTCAGAACAAACATACAGAGGCAGCAGCATGTATTATCAGATTTTATTACAAAGTGGTTTTTACCGAGTGTACAAAGTCAAAATATTTGTCGTTCTTCCTTCCAACAACCTGTAATTTAATCATTTTTGTCCATGTGCCGAATCCACCTAATTTTCCTTGCGTGCAAATAGTTCAGAATTCTTAGAATGCATCAGTGCTGTTTAAAGCAACGACAACCAACAAGTTTGCGAAGTTATCAACCTTTTGACATCGTGTGCCATCACGTAAGGTCTCGTTCATTGCCCAAGTCTAGAATTCCTGTACAAGTTGAAGTTACTCAAGAAGTTAGAACTGTTACAATTCGATTGACCTCAGTTGACCTCACTTTAATTTGTCTCATGAAATATAAACCACTTGAGCAGTAACCAATACCTACCAAGTTTATTGCACAAAGATAACAAGTGCATGTGTATGTATACCGTTTGGTACGTGTAAGTAACACTTGAACTAAGGGTTGATGCTGATCTCAAAATAAGGTTTATTGGTAGACATGTTACTTGTTTTTTAAATGGAAGAGCATGTGGAAAAATAGAAATATTATTTTGGTGCGTTGGACAGCTTGAGCTGAATTTGTGTGCGGAGATTTTCTTTGGCGCTTGTCAACACACAGCTCAATTCTGTGCGCTTGGTTTGAAGAATTAGAATAAGATTGGATGTTGAATTGAAAAGATTTATAGTGCTGTTCGTTTCAAACAATTGAATGAGTATTGTCCCCACATTGTCTGTCCGGCGATCCGTCAAACTTTCACTTAATTTATAAAACATTCAGCCGTCACATTTCATAGAAAGATGCAACCTGCTAACACCAGAAAAGTGAAGACACATCAATAAAATTAATTTCTTTCAGGTGTTGATATGGTAACAATGACACAATGTCCAGGTAAAGTTAAAAAACTATTACACTTGTTAGCACTTGTTTGCCTCAATAGATTGTTAAATTTTTACAATACAAAATAATCACCTCTCACTGGTTCCCTTATTTCCAGAAACCAGCTCCTAATATTCAGCACACTATCCTACAGACTGTGCCTAGATTTTACACACAACCACGGCAATATTTTTTTAGTCAGGCAATGCTTCAGTTAGGTAAAAAAATTCATTTATAGCATGTTCGTGTGCTGACCAATATAGTTTCTTCATACAAGACAGAAAAACCTGAGATTGAAAATCAAGGTAATGATAGCAGTCCTTGATGTCACCACCATCATCTGATGTCCTCCGAAGAACATGACGATGTTTTGGGGTGAGACGTCGCACATTAAAGTGCTCAGAGTCGCAATTCCTCTGCCCAGTGATCTTCCGTGTCCATCCTGGATGATAGAACAAAAGTCCCAGTACAACTCAAATCAGACAACATGTTCTCCTATGAATTTCAAGGCCTAAATTATTTCTTTTTGCGGGGTGGGGGAGGCTACAAATTACAACAATGCCTCATGACGAAAAAATGTTTAAGTTATCAACACGAAAATGGAAGGACTGTCAAAAATGACCGAATGTGTTGGCGCTGTGTAGCCATGGTTTTCATTCAAGATACATAAAATTGCTGCTGGCAGAAAGGTTTCACTGGTCATGATGTATCTTAAACTGCTTTGCACGTTTTATGAGGAAAGAGTTAACATTCAAAATTTCAAGGCAACTGAAATACATGTAGCTTCAAGACTATTCAAAATGAATTTTAAAAACTAAACCATCACAAAAAAACACAAACACCTAGCCAGCCGAAGCAAACTCTGTCCAAACTAATTTAGTTTATCGATGTTTTCTTGGCATGACGCATCACTGGCATCCTATGAATAGGATGCCAGTCTATCGCAGGTTGCTCCCCAACTAAAATCACACTCCCAAGTGGCGCGAGGAGGCAAGCAGAAGCGATGTGACTTGACCAAGACCGTGCTTGGTCCAGCAGCTGGATTCTCAACCATAAGGCCACTCTCTCCCCTGCTAAATCCTTGGGCAAAGTCGGTGAGTTGTCACATGGGTTAAAACCGGGGACAAACTCACCTCCGACGTGGAGAGGTTGGAGTAACAACCTCGCATCTTCCGAATCAGATCTCCCCACAGCACGTTCTGTTTGCAGACGGGACAGTTCCCGTCAACCGGCAGCAAGTAGTCTCCGCCGGCGTGCCTGAGAAATTTGCCAGCCAAGCACAGGATGTGCGCCTCCATGGAACACGTGGGATGGACGCAGGACAAGGTCGATTCGGCCTGGAAGCCAAGAGTTTGTAAAATTTACATCTTGATTTGCAAATTGAGGTGTTGATCCGAAATTGTGCCAGTAAAGTGCAAAGACTGAGGATCACAAGGGAAAAACCTGGGATATAGTGCCCCTAATGTATTTCATGGAACTCTGGGCAACTTTATTTATGCCTTTTAATCTCATCATATTTCATGAAAGCTGAGGTTCTGCACTGGTTTCTGTGGAAAAGAAACAAACTAGTCAACTTCAGAATGTTGGATATTGAGTGATTCAGTAAGATTTTGCACAGAGGTTAGGATCACGTCTTGCATTTTGGGGTCCAGAGATGGCTAAGTTGCACTTTGGAGAAATTACACAGCTGCTCAACTGCATTACTGAGTCAATGGGCATCTCAAAGAGGGCGGGAGGGGGGAACCTTTTTTAAAAAGGCAAAAAGAAATAAAGAAAGGGGATATAAACAACTGCTACGTTCTACGGAAATGCTGTGGCACCGGTCCCCACACTAGTTTGCTCCCGTAGCTGAAAGTACTGTGTACCCCTCCCCACACAGATATAGGCACCCTTCCTGGCTCCGCCCATAAGGGGGCTCAGATAATTTTCAAGTGGCCATGTTGTGGCTTCCTCCTTGACTCTATACCTGCAATCTCTTCAAGCAGACGGCACATCGTTTCTTGGCCGCCTGAGTCATCTCAACCATTTCTTCCTCCTCCTGTGTCCCCTCTGAGCTACCTCCCTCATCCTGGGTGGACTTGGTGCCGAGTTTCTTTTTCTGCTTTGAGTGCATCTGATCGTGAGATTGGAACGATAGGAGACAAGATTTGATCAAACCCCTAATGTGGGGTGATGGAAAAGCTACGGTGTAAAGTGGCCACAAATGAAAAGAACCTACACACTCTAAGACACGACAGGTACAGACAAACAAACTGGCCAGACTTTCTCAAGTGTATCGCAAGTCCTCAAAAGTCACAAGTCCTTACAAGTCTATTACGAGTCTTTGCAAGTCCTCTGAGTCAATTATAAGTCCTCATAAGTCCATTACAATTCATCACAAGTCCATTTCAAGTCCACTGAGCTGACTACAAGTCCTCATAAGTCAATTACAAGTCCTCACAAGTCCATTCCAATTCCTGTACAAGTTCTCCAAGTCGACTGTAAGACCTTACAAGTCCGGTACAAGTCAAATACAAGTCCTCACAGATCCATCCACAGGTTCTTGTCAAAGCTGAAAGCTTTTCAAATGAACCATAACACAAGGGCATCTTGGCATTGCTCAGCTGTGTACTGACTTATTTTGGGGCATTTGAGGGACTTATGAAGGACTCGACTATAAATGCGGTGCTCTGTTTTCCATGTTGCTTAGAATAGACACTGCACCTGAAGACGGAACAAAGAAGGAAGGGCTATATACCCCAGGGTGGGGGGAGACACTGTGGGGAGACTTGAGTTAGGGAGGAAAATGTTACATGCATGTTATGTTTCATGACACATGGAGGCCTTCAAAAAATTCTTGACTACGTTCAGGTAAGTTGGCCAGCAAAATGCATACCTGATAGGGTACAGCTTTGGACTAACACAGTATTTCTACGGTTGTTCTCAGTTGGAAAGACTTTGCGAATGGGTAGAAAGGAGGGTGAACTGAAGGTACTAAAATTGATATGATAATCTATGTTGGGTATGACCAGAAGATTTGTGCCATTACACATTTGGGTTGTACTTACGGTTGGTCCTGTATGATACCTAATGCGATCGATCAATCACCTTGTAGAATTTTTCTAACCCTAACTGCCCAGTATCCATCAAACTCCAACAGTGGGTTTTGCTAGGCTCTGCCAGGTTTTGTACCATACCTGATTGACTTCTTGTCGAACTGACTTGGTATCAGAGGCCTAGGGTGATGACGTTGGATTTTGTGTGAGTTGGGACACACAGGGGTCACTGTGTGCAGTGTTTGGCTTGCTATACCAAGCGTTGGACTATGTTTGATTTTGTCAGGTTTGGTCCTGCTTCGGTGCAAGTCATCCAATACTGCAGAGACCAATCCATACCATATCACTTTAACTCCAACGGGCTGATTCTGTTGGAGTTTATCAGGTTTGGTAGTGACCTTCATGTACAAGTACAGAGACAAGTACATGAACTTGTTGGATTTTGTTGGGTTGTGTATGCTCTTTAATGGAACATGTTTGCAATGGGGATGCAAGTTTTTGTCCTGCGTCAACTGACAGCACGATTTAATTGACTGAGATGACCAGACGTGTATCCACCAATCATGCCAAGCATCCGTACCTTAATGGACGTGACCGGACCGAAGGCGATGGGCATGTGGACCGGCGGCTGCAGCCCATCCTCAAACTCCCTCATATGCTCTTGCTTCAGCCACTGGACGGTCAGTGGCAGCCGGCACCAGGGCCCGACCTTCAGCATGTTGGACAGGACCCGCAGGTCAAAGAGGAATCTCTTCTCTGTCTTCCGCTTGGCCGGCACGTGCTTCAGGCGTTTGCAGAGTCTCGGGTGTTGCCAAGCCCACTCAAACTGGGGAAAGAACTTTTAAGTTTATTTTTTTCCTGAACTGTTATGGTTAGAGGAAATCACAGTCTCATGAAGGATTATCAGAAAGGGATGGAAAGCAGATGATTTTAAAAACATCTAAAAATATTGAGGCAAATTCAAGTAAATCAAAGTTAGGCCGACCAGAAAAATAAACAAGCTTCTCATCCCTGGTTGCTTCTATTTTTAAATTTTTTGTCAAATATGCAACATATTATGGCTTTGTTTCTAACAAAATAAATGATGGCTAATGATTCCTTTGTACACAAACACATATCAGCAAGATGTGAGAAAACTTATTCGTCATCTAAGACAAATCTGCCTTCTTGTTTAAAATAGAAAACGAAAGGACAATTTTCTCTTTTTTAGAGAAATCCCAAAAAAGAAACTGTTTCAATTTTTTGCAAAGTCTCATCAAATCGCATTGTTAAAAAATAATTATGCTCACCATTAATGCGGAAGGCTTATTAGGAAAACCGTACACAATAAGAACCATTTCCCTGGAAAAGTTTTGGAAAAAAAAAATGGAATTAATCAAAGTGGTAATACTGAGCCTGTGCACTCGAACAGAAATGGTAACTCTATGAGCCTCGAGCTGGACCAAGAGAGGACACAATTTTCTTAGGAATGGAGGCTCCTTTGGAAGTAAACTCGCTATTGACAAAAATAAACACTCCTGACCAACATGGCTCTTTTCAAACAATAGGGGGGGTGCTTCTGCTCGAGGTGAATTGTGCAGTATACATTGCACAGCTGATCAGGTCGATGCTCTTTTGGATTACTATCAACATGAATACTACTAACATGAATGGGGCCCAGACACTGAGCCCTACTCTTAAAACTCTGAGACCCCAACCACCAGCACTCAGGTAGGGCCTAGTGTAACCTTACCGACTCTCCCTACCACTCCATCCTTCACCACACATCCGTATACATGCACGCAATTTGCGTGTCGGCATAGTGAAAAATTTCAGCGCACCTACTTATCATCGTGGGGCAGGCGCAATTTCTTTTGCACACAGAAATGATCCTTGACCTCTCCGCTTACCAAAAACCATTTATTGAATGATTTCACTCACGTTATTAAGGTATTTTCCAGTCTTTTTGCCTTCACCCGTTCAATCTCACAAGCTCGCGCTCACAGTTGCCATCTCTAAAATAAGGTCGTTGAACATTACGCCAATTGACCCCTGATCTTCTCGACGGCTGTTCCATGTCAAGACATATTACAACTGCTGCCCAAGTTTTGGAAGAGCCCACTGATTTATGTAGTATCTTACCGCTCAGTCTATGTATTACATAGGCAAAAAGACTGGAAAATACCTGATCAACGTAAGTGAAATCATTCAATAAATGGTTTTTAGAAAGCGAAGAGGTCAAGGATCATTTCTGTGTGCAAAAGAAATTGCACCCACAATAAGTGGGCGCGCCGAAATTTTTCACTACACCGACGCTCAAATTGCGTATACGGATGTGTGGCTAGGGATGGAGCAGTAGCGATAGTCTGTGCCACACTATAGGGGCTAGGCTAGTGCAGAGAGGCCCAGGAGGGTTGTGTCCACCCACCACATTCCTCAAGCATGTCAAGGTTGAAATATGGTGTGAAACGACTTTCCTTGGGCCTATAGGGAGGAAATTTGTTAACTTGTGGTAGGCCTATCTTGTGCTTTTTCCTGCCTCTCCTGAGAAATGTCTCGAGGAGTGTTTGGAAATGTTCATCTAAAAACACTCATCTTATTTTGTTATTTATGGGGCGAAAGCCTAAAACTGAGGTTAGTCTTGCTAGTTCATATGTCATGCATTATGACGTCGGACCCCACAGTTCTAGGGGTAGCCCCACTAGTGTGGCACGGATCACGCCCACTCCTGATTTATAAGGATAAATCAGGAGTGGGCGTGATCCGTGCCACACTAGTGGGGCTATTCTGGGGGTAGATAATGACCAGGTGATGTTGTTATGCCCCAACTATAGCGTAAGTCCCAACTATAGTTGGGACAGTCCCAACTGTAGTGCTAGCTGCAGTTGGGCTGGCCCAACTATTGTTAGACAATGTCTGTGGAAAATGTCTCAACATTATCCAAGTCAATGTGTCTTACACTTGACACAATTCATCTGAAATATGGCACTTCATCTGTTCATCTAGCCCTATGACCAATGACATGACATTTGTAAACAATATGACTTTGGCATATGCTGCGCACATCATGCACACAGCTCCTCTCTGCTGTAGTTAGGCCGGCCCAACTGTAGCACTCTAGTTGGGACGGCCCTACTATAGTTGGGACGGGCCCAACTATAGTTGGGACTGATGCTATAGCTGGGGCGTAACAATGTCATGGTCAGGATGGTCGTCTTAACTTCCGAAGTAGGCCCAGGGCCTACCGAACTTACCAAGGTCCTCTTCCGCTCGTCCGTTTAGCACCACCATATTTGCTTCCTTTGTTATGCTGAGTAATTCTCCTTCTTGGGTCGACCGTGAACCCGATGTAGGTCCTACCCTTGAATTCTGGATTTAAATTTAGCAGCAAATAACAGCCAAAGAAATTCTCGATCTCTACAACCATCTTGGAAAATTTTCTCAATGTTGTGAAAAAGTGCGCCCTCGCGTGGCCAAAGTTTTCCAGAGGTGCCTACGGTCGCCTATGTAAAATTTTGGCCCTTGAAAAATCAAATAATAAAATGTGTACTGTGACTTTATGTCTGGGCGGGGAATAAAATCGTTCGGCGATTGTCGTAAGATGTCTCCCTATTGAATGCTAATAACATGAAGGGTGATATTGAAGACTTTTGTAAGAACCCCACCGTAGCATTGTTTACCTCAGTCCAAAATGGCTCAGAAGTTGACTCAGGTACAACATTTTCAAATTTGTTGCTGTTAATATTTTCAGCAGAGTTGAAAATTTGATTGTCAATAACTTGAAGCTATAAACAAGGATTATTTTTGTTAAGACGGTTGAGGAAGCACGTCAGTCGGATCGTTTGCACCGCCGTAAGATTATTGGATTCCATCTACCATGATCTGCACCATTCTCAGTCCAGGAAAGAGTTCTTTTCAGAACCATACAGATTAAAAAAAAGATATCGTATCCTTGCATAGTGCTACCGCAAGCTTTCCACCAAAGATTACATTGAAAGAGCAAAAAGTGCAGGCAAATTAAACGCATTACATCTCAAGGTTGGCATTTTCAGAATGGCCTCTAACTTTAAGTAAATAACCCACTTAAATTAACACAGTGCAATCTTGAATGTGATGAATACGCTGAGCCGGTACCGTTAATATCAAGGCTAAGAGGTACGAAAACGGTTCAATTGTCACTTGGACGGGCAATCAGCATAACGATTTACGTCAAATGTGTCGGTTCAGCTGAAATTACTGCATGATCGAAGTGCAAAAATACCAGCAGATGGCCAATGGTCCATGGAAATTAAACTATGTTATTACTGCCTCATGGATACAGTTCACAGGCAATGCTTGTAATTATAACCAGCAGAAATGTGACTAGTTGCTCAAGTGTTCATATTATGTACTCAGCCATGGTCAAATATAACCGCCGAATATAGGTGAAAAAAATCTTCACAACCCAGCTCACCAGATCAGAAGATGGGTCATTCTGTAACTTTGGGGTCCGACTTGTGACATTTTTCTGTCCCTGTTTCACCTGACCTGTGTAATTTGACAAGAGCTATTGGGTGCCATTGAAGTTGACTTCAAACTATTTTTATCTGTCCGACAGGCATTTTGCATTAATCATTTTTGGAAATTAAAGAATGCGCTCTAAACTTACAAAATGATTCGCCAGATGTTACAGAGAGAAAACCAAATGGACCCTAAATTTTATAGAATGACCCAGGTACGTCTGTGTTAATTCAAGCTACAGAAAAGTACCCTTACGATTGTGTTTAGTTTTATCATGAAATAACGATTATTTAATTACTTTATTTATTTCATTCTCGAAAATCCAGTTATGCTATACCTTTTGGGCTTGCAAATGAATTCACCGAAGAGATCAAATTAATAAGTAAACTTTCCTCCTTTATTACTGTATGAATAGGCTACGTGTGCGTGTTCATATTCTTTTTTGTTACATTCAGAAGCCGTACAAAATTATTGTGCGCGGATTTTGGTAGTGAATAAAAATGTCTATACTTGGAACCAGCTCTTTCAGGTGGAATTTTCAAATGTAGAAAAAAGGTCAACACTAATTGCTCAATTTCTGCTTGTCTTTCAAAATCTGTTTATATTGGCCCAACTTTTCTCTAGGATTATTAAAAACAAAAAGTTTATATTTTTTCAGGCCTTATGTACCAAGACATAATGTAGACAGGCTAAATCGCCGTGCTCTAATATGGTACATGTTGGGTATTGCTTACATTCTGGTTGTTATGTGGGCGACAGCGTGGATGGACTATCGATGAGAATGAAAACACTAAATACCTGCAAAAGTTGAAATATTTACACGGCACCTCGATCAGAAATGCAGTTTACCTGTTATCTGGGGCTGAAAATGTGTCATGATTAATTAACCACAACAGTATTTTAACGTCCCACCCTAAAGCACACATGATACGACAAAATGGCGAAATTAAAACTTTTAAGAGGCAATTGAAGACTTCTATACATTTCTTTTTCTTTGTGATGGAAAATGTTATATATATTCTGACCAGAGGAAAGGTGTTTATGCCGATGGAGACTACTGCAGATCAATTCAGAAAGGGCCTACTCAGAAAGGGCCTACCATGAACAGAGCTTCAACAGAAATATTTTGACCCCGAAAGTGACCTTTCGTGGCACATATCGGCCTGCATATATACTAAGGCAAAATGTCCAGCCGGCATTCGAAAAATCAATCAATAGGTACGAGAATAGCGACAGATAATTACCACACGCACTCATAAAACCACCTGCATCTTGTTTAATCAATGACAATACACTGTCTGCCACCCGGCAAACTTATATTAGTTTCGTCTTGAAGACCTGCTTTTGGCAGGCGATAGGCATGTACGCAACGATCTCTCCGAAAACTGCTCCGAAAACACCGTTGGACGGTGAGCGCCAGACGGCACCAGGGCCCGACCTTCAGTATTATGTTGGACAAGACCCGCAGGTCGAAGAGCAAACTGTTCTCCGTCTTCAAGTTCCTTCGGCAGGCACGCGCCGACCTTCGCGTGTTGTCAAGCCCATCACTCTAACTTGGAGAAGAGTGTTAGTGTCATTTCCTCCTTAATGTTCGCATCGGGGAACATGCGGCAACGTGACGGTTGATGGTTTACCACAACTCTCGAACTTGTAACGTTTGTGTTTCAGTTTTACTTTTGCCATTTTAATCTGTATTTCGGAACCTTTTTGGTTTTTATGCTAATGTAATTTGAATATTCATGATAAATCTGTGTCGTCACTAAAGAAGGCACTGAACCAATTTTGCAATGATTTGTGCGCACGAAACTGCTGGACTTTTTCAAAATAGTTTTCCATTGTACCTTTTCATTTCTTTGGAAACTTATTTTTGTGGCAATGTATAGCAATACGCCAGAGAGTAACTTTTTCTCATAAATGTTTTCAAAGAGCGAAGATAAGTTCAAACTTCCCTGATTTACCTCACAGCAACAGCAATCTTTACTCTCCGCAAACGTTTGGACAGGTTTTACTGTTTAAAATGTTCACTTTAAATACACTAAACTCGGAAAGGATTTCAAAAAGTTTTCATACATTAAGGAAAAGTCTAAAGGTGCATAGAAGTGAGTCAAAGAAAAATTAGACGCATTCCTTTTAAACAAATGCAATTTGTGTGGTAAAGGAAAAAAAGCTTTTCGACGGTTGCCATGGTAAGTTTTCTCCACAAGGGCACCTCTGTTGCAAACCACACATTGTACAAAGCCTAAGAATCTCTCTGACCTGGTTATAACTCACACTTGAAGCCAGTTGCAACTTTGAAGACACCTCCACCCCAGGGCTGCCATTATTTTTTAGTGGGTACAATTTGAGCGCGGTAATGGCTCTGTAAGCCCGTGTCAGACACATCGTTCTTCCAAATCACAACACGGTCCCAATCGTACGAAGCATGTACATCGCTGCTACGATAGAAACCAATAGACCATTTATTTTATTTGTTCGTTTTTTTTCTGCCTAGTTATTGGTGTGTTTAATTATTTCGTTTCAGTTACCAGAGACGAGTTTCCACCTTTGCAATATTTCATGCCTTGGTCCGAACAGGATGCGGAAGGGGTGGAAACGAGTTTTTCAAAATGTTTTACTTTTTCATTTCAATTTTTGCGAGAGAAAAAGATGTGCCCGAGAGCTTGAAAATGACCGTAAGTACGCGTCACCACTCGGCACGTGCTGCGTCCAGTGTGATAGGACGAAGCCCAATGCTAGCCTGCCCTTCGAAAATCAATCATGGAGGTGAGAGAGAAGTGACAGAAAATGCCCACCCACGCATCACCTTTCAGCACTCTACCACCACCTGCCTTGTCTTGTCATATCAATGGGAATTGATATCGCTAAAATCTGCCATTTTGGCCTAGAAGACATGTTTTCACATGTTCAGTACGCACCTATGCATGGGGGGGACAGTAGACCACAACATTAAGCATTGGTAGCACAATTTGATTTAATATTTTCTCGTGAAATGCTTTATCGGTAAATTCATGAACATGTAATTCCCTCAGTACTGGCTATCATGAACTTTTGGCCCATGTACACAATGTTAACCCAACCCGCTATAAGTATTATTAAGCGTTAATTTTTCCCTGCTCACATTAAAGGCTGCGTATATGCTTTTCCTTATAAGTACAATGCACAAAACACCATTTAAAAATCTAACACACATCCAGAAAGGAGTGTAAAAACCAATATTACAGCATTACAAACGGCGTTTAGAGTTCTAACACTTTTTCTACCCTTTTTCAACGCATTTACCCATGGGCTTAAATCCCGGGGGACGGGGTATACACGTATATCCCCCTGTACACTTTTGGTGAGGGGAATTGGCTATTGAATCATCCCCCACTTTTTGTGATGAGCAAAAAATTCAACAGGATTGTGAAGAATTTACAGGATTTCTCGCCGACTAAAATGTTTGCAATATCACAAAAACGGGAAAGCAATTTTAAAAAACCATTAATTAATTAACCATTCTGATGTAAGATTCTGCTTGAATTTGATACACATTACAGGTGTAAATCTTTATCATGAACACAGGGGGTGATGTTCATGATAAAGACACTATATAGTATATATGGTGTCTCCCCCACTTTTCAAATTTCCATGGCCGGGCAAGTTATCGCCCCCCATCTTTCCCTATCCCCCACCCCTCCCCTCAATTTCCAACAAAGATTTACGCCACTGCATTAACCCCCGGCAATGTTTACTGAAATGCGTTTAGGAATGTGTTGAAATGTTAAACGCTTTTCAGTGAGACACGTTTAGCTTAGTAATTAAACACTTTCCTGAACGCATTTCAACGTAAATGTCTCAACATGTTTAAAAATAATCTGGGTACATGAAAGGCGTTTTGGAAAACGTGTTAAAACTCTGAGCGCCTTTTTTACGGTACAGTTGAAAAAAAGTCCACCTGCAGCGGTCAAAAGGTTGCCCCTTTACTTGAAATCTCTCACTGAAGAGGCATACGCTGTCTCAATCTTGAGGTAAAAAAGGCTCTTTATGTTCCTTTTTTCAGTCCTCAATAGAATGATTTTTAGACATTTCTGATTCCCTTTGGAAGACAATCTTCCAGAGCCACAAACTAGACGGCCGTCACAATGGTAATAATTCGATATCGAACAAGGGCCGAAAATAGATTGACATAGGTCTACGAGATATGAAAACCCTTGCTGGTTAATTTCTTTTACGTTACTCGGGCAAAGCAAAGGACTTGATTGTTCAATTACTTGAAGCACAGATGAAACAAATCTGAAATTACAATGTGTGTGTTAAAAGTCATTTTGCCATTTAAATTTGTGTTTTGTCGGGGCTCCAATGAATAGCAGATAACACCCCTTGTGCGCTAAAGGTTTGTTCGTCATATTGATCTTAATGGCGCCAAAAAATAACGAATACATAAATACATACAACTTAAAACAAATTAAATATCTTTTACCACTTCCTTGGAATGCGTCAGCTTTTTTCCATGATAAACAGGTATAACGATAAAGATAAACATCGTATAAAGATTACGAAAAACAAAGTAAATATATAGAATTTAGTTCAGTCACCGTGGGTAGTTATACTTATGCATCGACAAGAAGCTCATAAGCGCTTGAGACCTCCGGTCAAAAATATCCAGGATATTAAAACGCGTCGATTTTATCAGCAACGAAAGTCGTTGTTGACCTTTGTATTTTGCATAGCACCTACAAGCCAAGTTGACCACAGATTCATTGCAGTTAGCTTCTAAACGGAACAAAAACTGAAGAAGGCAAAACTGCTATTTTACGCAATAAATTAGGCCTATAAGTCAAAGCTATAGCTTTACTTCACTGTAGCGTTTACTGTTCCCGCGTTATTAAAAGTAATACAGCAAGTGCGGTGGATCGCCACTGTTTCCATAACGTTGGCACGTTCTGTTTCTCAGAATCAATTGACACCAAACAATCGATCCGATGCAGGCAGCGATCATGTCAAACTGTTCAGTCCAAACCCAGTAACGGGGGCGGTCAGGCCTCTAGTGGCGTAGCTAGGATTTTACTAAGGGGAGGGGGACACAAGTGGGACACCAGCATCTTATGGGGGCACCAGCTTTCATTGGTGTGGTTATTTGGGGGCAAGCTTTTGTTTGTCTTGTTCAATATCCATTATTCCATTTTTGAGGGGGGCACCTGGGGGCACCAGCAATTTGTAGGGGGCACGTGCTCCAAGCCCCACCCCCCCGTGGCCACGCCACTGCAGGCCTTGGGCCTCCCAGGCCTGCCCTCTTGAGTTATATGCTACTGCTCAACACATAAACCGCTGTTAAAAATCACTGCTGAAAATGCACCTATCAACCAGGCAATGGCTGATCAGTCATTTACAGAGTGCTCACGACTCACGACTGGACCAGTTAAACCACAAAGATTAACGACAGACTAACCTATAGAGTTGCATTAGAAGGTCGACATTTTTTCACAACTTCACTCCGTCCTTTAAATAATTGTTTTGAAAATGTGAAAATCTATTGATCGAAATACACATGACAATAATAAAAAAAACACACGTGTAGTTAACATTCCACAGTCCACACATCCTTAAACACCAGCGTTGACATCCATACAGGAAAGCCGCCATTTTAAAAACTTGAATATAAGGCGATTACTAAGCCCATTTCGGACCAATTAAAGTTGGAAGGTTATGATTTCCCATCCATATTCACACATCCCCTCCATAGAACGCTTCTTAAAATTCTTCATTAAAACACGAAGGAAATCAAATTAGGTAGGGAGGTCGCAGAGAATTTTGCACCTTTTTACGATTTCTAGTGGAAGGTTGGATATACAGTTAAGCTTATCTCTCCATACATTTTACACACACTTTCCTTTTCTCAAGATTCCACATTGCAAAATTCAGGGAAAGAAAAACAGATATTTGGTACAGGCACTAGGAATTGTTTTCCAATTTACGGTTGGAAGGTCACGGGTTAAAATTGTTAGATGTCTACTAGTTTGCCTGAATATATACTTTATTTTCGATTTCTTTTCAAAAGAAAATCGATGGTAAGCAGAATTTGACGCGACAAAGTAAGGCAGATTTGTATAGTCAGCGAATGTGTGGTTGGGAGGTCAAGTGCAGGCACAATGTTGTATAATGTTCCATGTATATAAGCGGTGTATGGGATTGGTTAGTCCGTAGGCAAACGGACGGCTTTGATAGGTAATACAGGTAGGCACGGGTACTCATTGACGTGGGTATGGGGCTTTCAGGGCTGGCGTGGGCGTGGCTTAAGTTAGCTAGTGAGGGTCCCACGTATAGACTTTCAAAGCTGTTTTACAGTGGGCGACTGACTGTGAATTACGAACATAACAGTGGTGACAGTGATCGACGCAGCCATTGTCAGAGCAGACACCAGCAACATGAAGCGGTCCAGGACAAGTGCCACCTCCTGCCATTCGCGAATGGGCGGATCGCTGTGACCCTCCCGTCTGGTGTCCAGCATTCTCTCCACGGTCTTCAGCAGCTCGCGGCAGCAAGGGTGGTGGCAGCAGCGTCTGGGGTCCAACTCGCAGCCGAGGCTGTTCATGGGGATGCCGTCTGCATCGCCGCCGAGCCCACGGTCGTCGCTGCCGCCCTCGTGCCCGTTGGCGTACCCCACTCCCTCCGCGGACGACTCGCGCACGTTGTTGGTGGACGCGCGGGGCCACGACTCGATGATGGTCGCCGACCTGGTCGGGCCTGAGTTCTCGAAGGAGTAGAGGGTCTCCTGACCATGCCTGTAGCACAGAATTGGAGCGAGCACTCTCAGGATCAAGTACCGAAGCCATCGGGGCACTGGTCGGTAAATGACGCGGTGATGGATATTGAGTATCAACACGCTACTAAGCACAGATGTACAGCCAATGACAACCATCGGAGTGAAGAAATAACCTAAAAAGAATAAAATCCATGAAAATATTCAAGTAAAACATAATACACGAAGTTTCGGCTCTTCCCAGACCATTTAAGAAAAATGATCACTGGGTGGGCAAGTTAAAGAATACAGTAAAATAATATAGGACTGCCCAGTCATTTGCTTCCCGAAATTCTTTAAAAAATTACAGAATCAAGAGAATTGAAATGACAACCGACGTAACAAATGAAGTTACCCTGTTGTCTTCAGCAGTATCAAAGTTTCAAGCATTATGACGCGCATCACACACTAGGGCCAAGTTTCTGCACCTACGTTATTAAGTTGGTCTGTTGCCTGTATGGCAAACCTTTCTGGTAGGCTGGGAACCAGTTAAGGATAACACATAACACGGCGTTTTGCCTGGTACTGCATCCCACTGCGAGGCGAATCCTATAAAACTTGTTTTGCTCGGCAGCTACAAACACACCCCGTAGGCCTCCTGAATGTGCTTACCGATGATGGGCGTGGCGTCGGAGGAAGGCGGCAGCGACCCGCTGATCAGCTCCTGGAACAGCAGTAGCGCCAGTAGGGTTGTCACGCCCAGCGAGATCTTCTCCCCCGAATCGGGGGGCAAGACGTAGATGGAGAGACTGATGATCGCCAGGAGGATGCCGGGAAGGAGGATGCTGAGAATGTAGTGGAGGGGACGACGGGTGAGATGCAGAGAGAAGGTGACCACGGGGAAAGTATCGGGACAGCACGGATATATGACCTCTTCCCGGGTCACTAGGACCTGGTATACAGAGAGAGAAGAGAGATAAAGCAGTCCTGTGAGGCACGAGTAGGACCAAGAAAGGGCACCATTTTTCGATAACAACTGGCGGAGGCACCTCTGGTAGGAACGGCACTTCGTTGGTTCCCACACGACCATGAAATGCATACACAACGGTCGCGTCGCCACTGACGAAATAAACACTGCCCACCAACATGGCTTTTTTGGCCGATAGAGGGTTCTTCTGCTTAAGGCGGATAATGAAAACGTACAGACTAAAGCCAGAGCCAAGGATGAGAAACCAAGACCGCGGTGGCACCGCGCTCGTGAACGGGTGGTACGCGCGTTTATGACTCTTCCATCAATAGCTATAGGATGCCGTAATTTGCCAGCGACGAAGGACGCTGCAACACTTCCAGCCCGTGATATTGTTTTTTCTACTTTGTTCCCTCAGAGGTTCTACATCGCAAAACAACCAATACAACGCTGTTGCTTATTTAATTGAGTCGCAACGAACATACAAATTCTGATGACATTATTGGGCATTATTGTTAGCAAAGGCAAGAACATTTCATATGTATAAGGTTTTGAGTTTCCAGAGTATTAAACTGGTCAAGCCTGACAAATTTGTGACTCTGACAAGATAATAGGGATTGGAAATAAAAGAAATAGTATCTTTTGGACGTCCTGTAAATTTCTCAAAATGAAAAAAAATTCTCCACAGCCTTATAAAAGCGTTTCTTTGATAGGTATATGTGAATCTGCTCCGTGCATCTGTCTCAACTCTTGTGGTACGTGCATGGAATCTTAAGTTTTGTTCTACTTGTAAACACTTCCGAAGCTTATAACCATCAAGAAAATAATACCCACGTCCGTTAGCTCCCAGACTCCATTGGGCACGAAGTAGGCGCTGAAATTCTGGTCCGTCTCGTTGTCCCTGAAGAGATCAATATCCAAGATGGTGTAGACCCAGGAGGCGAAGACCAGGTCGCAGCGCTGGATGTCGAACGGGAAGAGCAGGCTGTCGATTTGGCATGAGGACTTGAGGATGGCAGGGAAATTCCAGGAGACCATGCCGTCCGGCGTCACGATGGTCGGTATGTCCTTGGTCCGCTCAAAGAACTCATCAACGCTGAGGCCCGGGGAGAGACTGGGCAAGTTAGAAGACCTGGTCACGCGGCCTGCGTCGGTCTGGTACCCAACACGAGCGGGACACATTCACATTTATCACCTTTGACGCGCGCCATTTTGGTAACATCCTATATATGTTGTCCAAAGCTCTGTTACACTTTGCATTTTAGATACAATTGTACCGCAGTTTTTGCCTATGTTCAAAATCAAAGACAGAAAATGTTTGTACTTTTATTTGTTTATACTGTGCAAGAACAGATCCAAAACCAACTTTGAAATTTTTCATGTAATCTTTTATGGCCTTTCTCAGGGGTAAGGTGTCTTGATATCTTCAGTAACATGCAAGTAAGTAACCGGAAACTGGCTCGGTGCATGCTGTTTTAAGCCAGGATAAAGCTAATTTAACTGATGTTTGAAAAGTCACTCGTCCTCTGGGGCCACCAAGTGGACTTTGTAAACTGAGCAGAAAACTGACCATCCGCAAATCAAGAAATGTATGAGCTCCATAGGAAAGCGCACGTGTAAATAAAGTGTGACGTCATCAGTAGATAGGCCCTATTCAGGTGCCCCCTTTACCATTAACTCACTGACAAAACGATCTGATTTGCTCGTTGAATTCTTTGCGGAGTGTAATTTAATGTGAACATGTCCCACGTGCCGATGCAGGGTAAAAAACAGTTGATTTTGTTGTTTCGAATTTGTCCACAAACATCACTAGCGTGTCTCACCTTTGCCATAGCAACAACATGCACTTACGCATAACAACATTCCGAAATCGCATCATCAACCATTCTTTTCTTGTGACTGTGATCATGCACAATGAATTTGGAGTAAGCCCCAAACTCCACTTGGACCAAATAATAATTTGAATGAGAGTTTCCACTGGAAAGAAAAGTGCAGTACCCTTCTAGACCAAATCACTACAGTGCGCATGCGTATTGCTAACTAAAGCAGCGGCTGACCGAGTAACGTAATTAGTAAATCAATCATTTCATTCTTTCTTAATACAGGTTATGATGTATAAAGCAAAAACCGTACGCTTACAACTGATAATTCATGCATCGTCCTTCGGTTGATCATCGAAATGAAAATCAAGACAATAGGCATAATGAACTACACAAGCCAACAAGTCAACGTCAATAAGGCGACTTGGAAATCATTACCAGCGCTCCCTGATAACCATGCACTTCGTGACGCACACATTCATGAAGAGTATGCAAAGCCGGCAGTCATAAAACAAACACCATTAGTTTTTAGGATTTTTTCTGGGGGGGGGGACTGAAACTTATGGTGGTGTATATAGGCCTATATTATTTCGCTGTCTGCTCTTTTCGAAGGCCACCACTTTCAGACATAGTAAAACTTTCTTACAAAACTGCAATTTTTGTTTTGTTTTAGCCGTAACTTATCAAGTTCGTGCGGCTCAACCAAGACCAAATTTCCGTTCCACTTTTTGAAATTTTGTCTGACCTATCTCGCAATGCCCCAGTGACGTATCCAGTGAGAGGGAACAAGTTGTCCTTGCTGGAGACAAATTGCAGAGATTGAAAGAAGCACTACCACCCAAGGAAGAATATTCACGAAAGCACTAACATTTTAAGGGATATAAATATCCATTTTGGCCCCTGGATCCAAAAACCATGTCCTGTAATACAATCACACAGTTTTAAACCAACATGATAACACATCACTGTTTTGAAAGCATGTGGGAAAAAGAAGTTAGCGAAGGTAAGGCCAACAATAAACACAGACTCATGCACCCAAACACTCTGGGGTGTAACACGACTACAGTGGTGGATTATGGAAAAAACACACCTACAGACATCACCCAGAAACACTGACTCATTCATTCACACGTGCGCAGTCCAATCAAATCCGGACTGTTCTGAACATACCCGTTACTCCTGGCCACGCTAGAAACAAAGAAGATGACTACAATGAGCGGGGAAGTTGGGTGAGGTGGAGGCTGCAGGCTAGTAAATAGGCCCGAAATAGCCCTCATCTCCGGTGAAGTTTGGTTGCGGTTACACTCTAAAAACCTCCGGGTAAGATTGACCCAGAATTGGGTCCCATTCGGTATAACCCTTTTCTGGGTCAAAATATGACCCCATTTGGCGTCAAATTTAACCCTTTCTGGGTCATAATTTGACCCGGAAAAGGGTTATACCGAATGGGATCCAATTCTGGGTCAATCTAACCCGTACGTTTTTAGAGAGTAGGGTCTGGAAATATTGCAGTGGAGTGTTTCAGCACAACTGTTCATAATGGCAACCGGCTTTCCATGACTACTTTCATGGATGGCAATAAAACACAAGTGACTAGAAAAACAAGATAATGGATGAAGTAAAGTTTCAAGTTTTTGTACCCAAGACATATGAGAAAGCTGTAAGTTTTGTTCCCGATTGTTTTAAATGAGGCTATTTGGCACTGTTGTCCATGGGATAATATTTACTGGTCTGCAACCACTGGGATGACAGACTATGGTGTCAATGGGTAGACAGCAAAGGTGAAAAGCAAGGAGCAAGCCGCTATCTTACTTGGTGTACATGGTGATGTCTGGCGTCCAGATGTCTTTGGTGGAGATATATAACCTCTCCACGCCGGGATAGTTGGTTCTGTTCCAGGCCAGGAAGGCGTCGTGCCACTTCTACAAAGTGAACCAACATTTCAAAATAGGTTCTCCATTGTATGTTCACGCCTACTAGACGTACATTATGTGGAAGTGAATCTAGCGCATTGACCTAGCATTTGAGTTGGGATCTTGTATCAGCGTTAGGGCAAAGGATTAGATCCTCCAGGCAAAGCCTATTAAAGGCCATGGCTCTGACCCTCAAAGCAAAGGTCAATGCACAGGCTGGGACCCTCTGGCCTTAAGGCCAAGGTCCTTAAATATAATATTATAAAGCTTTGCCCTCAGAGAAACGCAGCACAAAGTGACATTTATTTGCCCCCAACTAATTACTGGGGAAAGCGTCGTTTCAGTATCTAGTTAAAACTTAAAATGTTGTCCATTCAAAACCGAAGACAGCGTTCAATGCGGTGACGCAATGCGTATGGATGATTATAAAAGACAACTACTTTTATAAGACACGCAGCAATCACGCAGCTGTGTTTACTCCATTTAACACTAACACACGGCATAACGTGAACGTATTTAGCGTGTTTTCCCTTCTCCATTGCAAAACATGATTATCTTAAAAACTGAAGACTTTACAGACAGCTCAAAGCTGACCCTAGGGTGTACATATGTGTTTGCAGAAAGTTTTGCAAACTAATTTACCTGGGAAATAAAAAAAATCAGAGGGCAAGTTGAAGAGCAAGGCTCTTAAATTACAAAACATTGATCCTTCGAGGCTTAGGCCACCGTGACGGCCAACGCTTTCGACCTCAAGCCTTAAGGCAAAGGCCAGTGCCCTAAAATCAAGCCTTAAGGCCAAGGCTCAGCATCAAGCCACAATGTACACGTACATCACTGACTAGTATACAGAGCAGTTTATATACCAACCGGTAGTCAAGATTAGGCATTAACGAGGGAGGGCGTTTTCTTTCCTCTTATAAAAAAAAGTACTAGTGGCATACAAGTGACAAAATTTGAGCTTTAGTTGGATAACTTCAGAAATATAAAGGTGAGTATTTGTTGCCAACATACTGTATATGACAATTTAAATCAAAAGCAGTCGTTTCGAGGGAATTATAAGGACAGAAAAATGTCCCAGAATCGGCAATTTTCCGATTCTGGGACAGAATCTGGGAGTCTTGGACCATTTAACTTAATCAGCTCTCAATATCAAAATAAAGTCGGAATTAGACCGACTAAATGACTTCAACACTAGCTCCATGCCCGCCGCCAGTAGTCTGTGACCCAAATAAGGTCTGCCACATCAGACTTCCTTTTACCGGCGATTCATCATTCGTGCTGGTGTTCGTTGCCCTAAACCAGATCAAACAACGAATGCAATATCTTGGTATTCACGAGCGATCGACAGTGGAACTGCAACACATTCATCAAGGAACATGAGCTAATTAAGACGACAGGCAGCCGGGCGCTTCAACTTGCTTACATTGAAATTCAGCACTACATCAGTGCTCTTGAGATACCAATTTCGCTATGTGAATGTCTAGATATACACAGAAACTAAGGTGTTAAAGTGACACCGAAGGGCATCTATGTTGAACACCTCGAGAGGTGCGGGCTCCATTGTGCAGACCAAAACTCGTCATGACGCAAGCATACCCTGGAGCGTATTGAGGTAGCACATTGTTAACCGCGCCAAAATTGATTATCAGAGACACACTTGGTTTACATATAAGGAAAGTTTAATGCCAAAGGATCCGAACAAAAGTTATTTAGGAACTTTACCAGTCTCATGAACCCGCTGATTTGGACGAACTGTTCTCGCTCGTTCTGAAAGAAATTAAGCAAAGGATTACCCGACCAATTAAACTATACTTCGCGGTAATCTTTAGTTCAAAAGACACGTTGTAAATCACCGTCTAGTACCTCGAAATTACTTCAGTCAGAATGACTTTCAACTCTTTGGAACAGAATGGAGCGGCAACATCATCCTTGAAGGAAACTTTAAATGAGGCCTTTCTGAGAGGAACAATCTTGGTTTGAAAGCTATTAAAGATTAAGAAGAATTATGCCCACAGCATTTGTAATAACATACGATTTGGTATTCATTCCTAAGAGCTTTATTACGTGTCCTGAAGGAGGATCTGTAATCAAAGGCGGATGTGGTTGTGGCACAACAGGGCCATTCCCCCGTCAGTGTTGAATTTGAGTCCATCATCCCTGCAAGTCCCTGCAAGTCCATCACAAGCCATTCAGAGCCAATTCACAGAGCAATTCAAATGAGCTGCAACAAAAGTATTTTTTTTGTCATTGTTAACCCTGTTACTTATGACTGGCCTTGTGACTGGACTTGTGACTGAACTTGTGATGGGACTTGTGATGGACTCGGATACAACACTGCCCCAAATTGAGCAAACAATTTGGAAAATGAGAGATATTTGATTGTTTGGTCTATTCAATTTCTCCCCTTTCCATCAGCAGATGTAAAAGGGCCAGACAACCTTATCACCCCTCAGAAAGGAAAATAAAAGGTTTTATAAAAAATATTTCCTAATTTTTAGCCTCCCCCCTAAAATTAGGCTCTTGATCCGACCATATGCAAGCTGATTGGTCAACAGTGAAGGAAATCCTTACCAGTTCGATGATCTGTGTGACGAAGATTCGAATGGCGACCCCGGTAGGTTGGCTCGCGTCGTAGATCGGTCGAACCGTGACTGGTCCATAGTTCTTTGTCAGGGTTTCCATCAATTTCGAAGCGGCAGGCTTGTCCGGCGACATGCAACTGTATAAATCTTTGCGGGAAATTATTTGGGGTTAGAAAAAAATGACACTTTCCGGTGACCGGGCATTTTGAAAAGCAGCTAGGATGTGGGCGGGGAGTTAGGGTAGGGGTTAACTAGACAGCGCTTGTTCACATATCGAATGAAATTCAAGTTATTAGAGTTTGGGTATCCTTACTACTGTCATCCCTGCCAAGACTTATTTACCGCTCGTCGTGCGGCAAAGTTGCAAGAAGACGTATCACCAGGTTTGGTTTTAGTTCAGTTTGGTTTGCTTCCATACCTAACCATTAAAACATAAAGAAACAATGATATTACAGAATTAAAATGAGAGATGATGAATGGCGGAAACCCGACAGTAAGCAAATGCTGGTTCATGGCCTGGTTCCTTATTTGTCACAATAATATCCATATGGTTGTTGCTGTTCAGTACATATATCATATCATCAGCAGAGGACCTGTCTACCGGTATGATGCACAATACAGAACGGTGATAGCCAAAATTGACGCTGAGGGTTTGTACTGGTATTTCAGGAAAATGCAGTATACCGCAGGGATCAGGAAGTACTCAGTCCAGTTTACAAGCTACACTGCACAACACTGCGGTTACGCAAAATTAGTGTCATATTTGCACCTTTGGTGTTATCAGAATACTACACTCAGTTTAGTTTTTCAGTGTACATACAATAGCAAAATAAATAGGCATTTTCGCTTTGAAATCATACTTTCATATTTTTATCTAACGCTAGATATAAAGAGGTCAATCATTCAAGTTGCAGATCTTCCGTTTAGCATCCACATATCTGTTTCATTAAGTGACTGATATACACGAATATAGCAATATCAAACTGTACGTTATTGTTCGGGGAACCATTGATAAACATGAATATACAATATCAAACTGAACGTTATTGTTCAGGGAACCAGTGTAACAACCAGCACACCAAAATGAACACACGGAAGTGTATAGGACAGATCATGGCGAAATTAAGATTTATGGAAGTGTCACGTGGAAATAATAGCCTTCAAGTCTCCCATCTACTTCGTGTAATGATTCATGGTACAATCATTATTTTGTAATGCGAGTAGCCAGACGCAATTTGATGAACCAGACTCTACTAAGGCAATGTCCAGTTCCCCGGGATGAAGCAAAATTATGAAATCTACATCACCACAGCAGGGGAGGGTGTGACGACTGGAGTCGATTTCTCGACCGTGCCGTTTCTCAGAATGGAGAACCGAATGACTCCAAAACCAACCAACCACAACCATGTCTTCAAACCTGAGCGATTCCAAATGGGGAGGAAGCATGAATGTTTCCCGATCGCCACCGTTATATCCACGGATCCCAGGGCCTCCCCCTGTATTATCGCATTAAGTAATACAACGTGCTACGTTAATAAGCTAGGCCCATCAAGGCCGACAACTAGTGTTGAAATGAGCCCGCTTCCCCCGAATAAAACAAACATTATAGTTCACACTTTCGGCAGGAAATTAGTTAATCTTTCAAAAGGTCATATTTTCCAATAATCAAATCTGAGAAAAAAACAATTGAGAAAATGTCTCCAGGACACAAATCATGGACTTCCAGAATATTTCGTTACCCACAACCCCCCCCCCCCCCCC